ATCGTCCGAACATGGATATATATCTTTGTGTGTGTACTTAATTACATATAAGTATATATATATATATATATATATATAATTATATATATATATATTTATATATAAACTTAGATTTGATCGATGATGTATGTACATAAGTTTAAGTTTTCATACTTTCACAAAGTTTCGAAATTTTCTTCAAAAGTATCAAAATACATATGCAGATGGACTTTATTGTATGTTTTTAAAGCTTTCCAACGGTTATATCTCGTCCCCCAACAGTTATAAACAGTTAGTAACTCATTTCACACAAGTAAAACAATCCAAGGATATAACACTCATTTCAGTATACGTCCCAATACACGAGTCACAGATGTCACATGACTTTTAAACATTTCCGTATTTGAAATCAGCAAAAAAAATTTCTTTACATAAAATATATTTTAATATATAATAATAAAAACGTTCATTAATTATTAGTAGGTAAAATAACCATTAAAGTTCTAAATAGTAAATACTACAACATCATAAGTCAAATACATTCCAGAGCATTATCATAAATCTATTACATGCCATCTAGTAAGATCAAAAGTAGATATAAATGTCATACAGTTATGATGAAGCAAACTTTAATTTACGATGTCAGCTTTACTCCTTACTTCGCTCGTGTGCTATTTCCTACGCGTGAACCAATCACACGCTAAGTATTCACCTAGTGAGACATAATAATATAAAGGGGGAAATCAAAACATCACATATCATAAAATATCATAATACAAATTTAATCGTATAAATAATAATATGCATAAAACTAATTTAATAAGTCAAATTTCTTTCATATAACCTGTGAAACATATTTAGTATGCCCAACACCCATATTCAATAATTTTCCAAAGTATCCATTTATTTCCCAATATATGTCAAATGAGAATGCAAGGCTATGGGTGTAAACGTGTCGAGTCGAGCTCGAGTATGCTCAGCTAGACTCGACTCGAAAACTCGCGAGCTTAAAAGTTTTAAGCTCGACTCGAACTCGAAATCCTGAACTGAAGCTCGTGAGCAGCTCGAAAAGGCTCGAAATGAAAAAAAATCTTAAACTTAACTAGATTGAATCCTCAAACTCAAACTCGAGCCTGAACCTTAAATACATGAAAAACCTTACTGTATTTTTTTAAAAAAATCAACACATAAATGTTAATATTATTAATAATTTATTTAAAAATAAAATATTATATATTAAATTTTCGAGCTGCTCATGAGCTTTTCGAGTCGAGTATCAAGGAGCTCGTTTCGGCTTGTTAAGAATTTTAGTCAAGCTCGAGTTCAACTTGAGTTCGTTCGATCCGAGTATTTATCAAGCCTTGACCGAGTCGATCTCGAGTAGCTCGCGATCTGTCTCGTCTCATTTACAGCCCTATACATGAGTAACACCCAAGTGCTAAGCGATCATATGTTATGTGATAACAACAACAATATACTAAGGTAACGAAATGGTAATTCACAAACTCATTATGAATATCATGGGTTGTACATAGTGCCAAAATTGTAATTCACAAACTCATTATGAATACCATGGGTTGCACACATAGTATCGAAATGGTAATTTACAAACTCATTATAAATACTATGGGTTGCACACATAGTGTCGAAAGTACACATAATATTGATACGAAAATGCAACATATGCATTAAACAAAATGCACCTATGACTCTCAATGCATATACAATAGGCCTTTAAGTCAAATTCGCAGATTAAACATTTATTTTGAAACATCGATAATTGTTCCAACAATATAAAGTTCGTCAATTTATTTTAGGGCAATTCATACCCTAAAATTATTCGTAAAATCATTTTCAAACTTTATGAAAATATTTCAAAATACAATAAAACTGCTTTTATAAAAACATTCGAGGTTTACTCATCACAGTCATCCTCATATCATATAGGTACAGAATAAATGCACTCACCTAGTATGCCTCAATATTATGCCTTAATGTAGTCTGACTATTCTGAAACCTTATCCTTGCCTTTTTGTTTGCTTGTCTCATGAATTTAACTACGATCTACACAAGTATCCATAATCACACATACTATAAAATATAATGTTAGTATACTTACTAACATTTATAGAAAATTAATACTCAAAAGTACTATTATTTATTAATTCTTTTTAAAATTCATCATAACATTTCCTTTTACTTATTAGGGCCTTATAATAAATTCTTCAATTTCAGCCCTCAACAGTAATTTCCACTAATATACATCAAATATTAACAAATTCACATTTACAAAAACGAAATAAACCATCCACTTAAAATTTCAGACTAAATAGTATCGGTACCCCTCCACAGTATCGATACTTTTTTTCTATGGTACTGATACCCTCTTCAATATTGATACCATTTTGCATTCTGGAATTCCATTTTTCAATTACAATATCGATACTTCATCTTGGTATCGATAGTACTTCAATAAGTATCGATATGTTCATCAAATTCATATCTTTCCTCCAATTTAACCTTATAGTATCGGTATTGTTCTTTCAGTACTGATACCCTTACCCAGATTTACTTATTTCACTTCGAGTTTTACCCAAATTTCACCTAAATCTCTTACTCTTATCTTCAACCATGTCATAAAACTCATTATCACTTATTCTAACTAATTTACATTCGTAAATCTCCTTATAACTCCAGTTTCTCCAAATAACACTTAAAACTAAAAATCACACCAATATTTAAACATGCTTTCAACCACTTCTAAGACTCCAAATCTCTTACTTACATCTTTAACAAGTCAAATATGCTTTTAAAATCCAATTACCGACCAATTTCATCAAATCACTTAAAAACTCATTTTACTAATTCATTAATAAATCACTAATCTCTTAGTTTAATCATCCTTAAACTTTCATTAAGCTTCTATATCACTCAATGCTTCAAAACCAACCAAAAAATGAAAGGAAAACCCAACTTGAAATATATCTTACCTTAGCAACTGGAGTTACGGGGAAGAGAAGAAGAATAGAGAACCAAGTTCCAAACTTTATCATTTTTCCCATATTCATCACTTAATAAATATCTCTAAAAGAAATGAATATTAAATTCATTTCCTACTAAAATTATCATAACGCCCATTCCATTTTCCATCCTTAATAATAAGTCCTAAACACAATTTCCAAAAATCGATGCTTATACTTTTCAATTTCATCAATTTAAACCACCAAATTTTAAATCCTTACATTATAGTACTGACCCGATGTTCGGGGAATTACAAAGGACACTTGAAAAAGGTTACTACACCTATCCAAACTTAAAGATCAAGAGAAAAAGAGTTTTCATTCTATTTTTATTTTCTTTTATAGTGTATGGAGGCTTATTGAATATCTTGTATTCATTCTTTGTGAGCTTAAATATTTGTAAACACCTACTAGTGAGGTATTCTTGTTTACCCAAATCAACATTGTAAAAGAGGAAATCTCAAATTCTAGGATTTTTAATTTGGGGTAAAACGGGTGTTACAATAATGGTTTTTTCTTTCCAAATAATTTTAGGATTTACATATATATATATATATTAATCTATTTGGATTTTTATTTGGTTTTAAAATTAATTAGGTTTTTAAAATATTAATGGGTTTAAAGTTAAAATTATTAGGTCTTAATATTTTAACGAGTTTGGAGAATGGACTGAATATAAATGAATGAACGTAAACAAATATAAGCGAACATACATAAATAAACGAATGGATTACCGAACGTCAATGAATAATAAACCCTTTGTTCGTATTCGTTATTTAATTAAATGAACATAAAATATTATCCATATTTGTTCATTTAATAAATAAATGAACTTCTCACCAAACGGTTCGTTGAGCATTCGTTTCGTTTACGGGCTAATCTTATAAGACAATGAAATTCCAAATAAATAAATACAAGCAAAGCAAGGTGGTAGTCAAGAATTTGATAAATAAGCTACATCATTATTATTTTACTATTTTATTATTCATGGTTGATGTTCCTTGATTCCTTTCTTTAATTGATTTGTTTTGAAAATTCTTTGATTATAATTTTAGAAAAAAAATATTAGATCAAGATATTATATTTTCAAACTATTACGATGATTTAAATTTATATAAAAAATAATATAAGCATCTTTAATTCTTAATTTAATTAATAAATTTTTTAAATTTTAACAACTCTTTGTTCTTTCCTTTAAATGATTTTGTTTCGAGAATTGTTTAGACTTAGAGCTTAGGTCAAATGATCCAATTTAAGGAGAAATTATTTGAGGATTCTGGTTCACGATATTATCTATAATTTCAGTAAATGAGATTATAAATTTTAAAATAACTTTTAAATAATTATTTATTTATTTACATATACGAAAAAGATAAAAAACATCTTAAAAATAAATAAAATAAAAAATTATTATTAATTGAGACAATAAGAATGTGATAGCCGAGATCATCGAATAACTTTTTCACCTTACGGGATTCAACGGTTAGTAAGAATTGCGAACAAAAATGTCACACGTGTCATCACATTCGTAGCCCAAAAAGGTCATCATCATCATTTTATATAGATTGGATATGGCCCCATAACTCCAAGATTGAAGATCCTATGAAAACCAAATTCCATGGGACCTTCTCCAGAAAACAACAAGAACAAGCGAAGTTAAACAACGAAAATGGCTGGAAAGCTCTCAAATTTTCTCATCGATTCTCTCAAATTATTAGTTTTATATTCATGGCCTCCGATTGCACCACTCAAAACCTGTCTGGAACTTTCTCTCTCCTCAAACACTAAGGATGTATAATTTCTTCTTCTTAGAGCAACATATCTTCAAAGTGCCGGAATGTGGGATTTATAGCATACTTCTCCCCCCCCCACCATCAATTCTCTTCAAGCTTTTACCAAAGCCAAAACCATGGTTTACCCGTTGGTTCCATTAAAAACCCTGTCTTTTTAACCAACCCAAATACCCCAAGAGTCCAGGAGAGATGCTCAAAGTTTTCAACTTTTCAATCATTCAGGTCTTTCCAGCAACAAAAACCCAAGACCCAGTTTTTATACCGTGTCATAGGAGCCAGCCCTGGTGAATTATCTGTGGGAGAAGGGAAGAGAAATAAGGGAAGTTTATGGCAAGATGGATCTCAAGAAATGATGAGATTGTGTGGGTTGGGGTATTGGGTTCAAGGGTTAGGTGTTTTCCATGGTTTGCTTGAACTTCCACATGACTCGTAATCTTAACTTGGACCCTTCAACATTGCAGCTTGTGCAGAACTTGGGAACTGCCCATGGTGGCTAAGCCACTTTGGGATTCTCTCAGATGCTTTTTTATTGGGGGTGCTCATAGAATACCTTATATTTGCATTGGAGGTCAGTTTGATATGGCCTTCCATTCATGTTTGCTGCTTGATAAATTGCACTGCATTTTTTTACCTATTTCTTTTGATTCAATTATAATGTCTGTGCTTTTGATTTTGTGTTCTATAGTGCAAACATTGTTGTTTGTATTATTCCTTTGTCTGGTTTCAAGTTCTTAACATTTTCCCCCCATATTTTGAAGACTTATGGATGTTGTAAATCTGTTGAAATAAAGCTGTTTGTCAAGAATTAGATTATGGTTTTTATTTTATAAGGAGTTGCAGATGCTAGAATTCGAACTTCGTCTTTGTCGTAAAGCTTGAGTTTATGAACTAACTAGACTAAGCACTCCATTCAAGTGATAGTAACTTTAAATTTATTATTATCAGAGAAGAAAATCTAACATCCTGTGTAAGAAAGGAGGAATTCATACTCTAGATTGACTTCATTGGAAACATTTTGAATTCAAGAAGTTTTGAGTTGTTGATTGAAAAATGGATTGAATCTTACTTAGAATCCAACTTTCAGTCCTTCTGCAGGTCCTGTCTTGGGGTCAATTGGCTTTGTTTCCAGTTTCAGGTCAAGCCCTTCCCGCTCTCATGGCATGTGTTCTTCTCAGTAATACAGGGGCAGCCATTACCGAAGTCGCAAAGGATGCTCTTGTTACAGAGTATGGCAAAAAAAACCGAATTAGCGGACTTCAGTCTTATGCCTTCATAGCTTTAGCTGCTGGTGGGATCTTGGGGAACTTACTAGGTGGATATTTCTTACTCAAACTACCATCCAGAATGATGTTCCTTGTTTTTTCGGTTCTATTGTCCCTCCAGCTTGCAGTTTCTGCATCGGCAAGAGAAGAATGTCTTGGTTTAGCTCGACCTTTGGGTCATATTCCAACAGGACAGTCAGTTTCAGAAAATATCAGAAAACAGATGTCTGATCTTATGATTGCCATCAGTGAAGACAGCATTTTCTGGCCTTTAACTTGGATTGTAGCTTCCATTGCTTCGGTTCCTATTCTGTCGGGCTCAATCTTTTGCTATCAGACTCAGTGCCTACATCTTGATCCCTCAGTTATTGGAATGTCACGAGTAATTGGCCAGTTGATGCTTCTTTCCTTGACCGTGCTTTATAACCGTTATTGGAAAGAAATTCCCATGAGGAAGTTGATCGGTGCTGTGCAAATTTCGTATGCATCTTCCCTTCTTCTTGATCTTTTTCTGGTAAGACAAATCAATCTCTGTATCGGAATACCCAATGAAGTGTTTGCCCTCTGTTTTTCGGGTTTGGCAGAGACTCTTGCACAGTTTAAGATCCTTCCTTTCACGGTGCTACTTGCAACTCTGTGTCCACGGGGTTGCGAAGGATCTCTTACTTCTTTCTTGGCATCAGCATTGTGCCTATCATCAATTGTTAGTGGATTTTGCGGAGTCGGGTTGGCTACTTCTCTTGGAATACAATCCAGTGATTACTCAACGTTGCCTATAGGAATTTTGATACAGTTCCTTGCTGCACTGTTGCCTTTAGGATGGATTCATCGAGTACCTATGTCTCTATCTGATGAGAAGAAAATAAAGAAAGGTCTGAGTAAAAGAAACCGAAAAACTAGAAGGGTTGGAAGAGTTGTGGTCGGTTCAGTTTATGCTTACCGACGAGAAAGAGAATCTGATGCACAGAAGTAGAGAAGCTATTCAACTTGGATGTGAGATCTTCTTATGAGCATATGAGCTGAAAAAGCAAGAACATGCCGGACAGTTGAAGTCTGTTATTTCATTGAGCTAGGGTCATCAGCAGTACGAATTCACCCAGCAGTTTTGCAACATACAACAAGGTCTTGCTTCCGAACATTGCATTTCTTTTGTTTTGAGCTCCGGCTCTAAGGAGATCGGCTTGCAGTACCAACCAGATCATGAGGCTGTTGTTGCTGACAGTTCATATCGTCTCGGTGGTGTCGATGTGCGGATTGAGGTTCACCATAGATTTAGTATGATGTGCAGATGAAAATTTTGTAAGAAAATTTTTGATTGGTTTATGTTGTTTGCTCTGTAACAATGATCTTAGTTCGAGGATAATGAGATTACTCCCTGTAAGATTATAAATAACTAAAACAATATGCCATGAGACTAACCTGAAACAGTTGGATCTTTCTATCAAGAGAAAATAACTTCAGTGGCCGAAAATGTCTTATAATATACGATTTTAACCAATTTTTTTGGATTTGTGAAAATAACCAACAAAATTGCAACGCGAACACAAGCTTCGCAACACAGTTTTCAAATTCGTAACACGATTCTCCAAAATCGCAACACGGTTTTCAAATTCGTAACGTGAATTTTATTTTCGCAACGCTAATTACCGATATAGGTAAACACACAACTCAGTTTTCAAATTCGCAATGCGATTCTCCAAAATCGCAACGTGGATTTCGTTTTCGCAACGCTAATTACAGATATAGGTAAACACAACTATTCGCAACGCGAATTTCGTTTTCGCAACTTGAATTCGCCAATTTCGCAACTAAATTACCGACATAGGTAAACTTGGTAGAAAAATTCGGGTAAAAGTCCGAATTCGACAATTTGAAATCTGAATTGTGTTTACCTATATCGTTAATTAGCGTTGCGAAAACGAAATTCGCGTTGCGCGTTGCGAATTTGAAAACTGAGTTGCGTGTTTACCTATGTCGGTAATTAACGTTGCGAAATTCGAGTTGCGATTTTGGAGAATCGCGTTGCGAATTTAAAAACTGAGTTGTGAATAGTTGTGTTTACCTATATCGGTAATTAGAGTTGCGAATTTAAATATCACGTTGTGAATTTAAAAATCGCGTTGCGATTTTGGAGAATCGGGTTGCGATTTTCTTTATCATATTTATATTAGAAGAATTTATATTCAAAAAAATATATATCAGAATAAAATAGGCAATCAAACATGTTGGAATTCTAATTAATCTCTATTTAATTTTATAATTAATTACTTATCTGGCATCTATAAACAAAGGTAAGATAATTTTTTTAATCTTCTATATTTATAGTTTTGATCAATTTAGCCATAAACAATATAAATGTAAATTATTTACAAACTATTTAAAAAAAACTTAAAGTTTTATTTTATTTATTTTTATAATTATCATATCATAGAAATAAATTATAACGACCAAATTTTAAATTTTAAAATTCTGTAAAAACCTTTAACATATTTTAAACTTGAATGTACCGTTTTTTCAACTTCATGGTTTAAGTCAATAATCATATTTTAAACTTGAGTTTTTGGCTGAAAATTAATTGTTTGGGAATGTTTTTAAGTTTCAAACGAAATTTTAGATAAAATGAAAAACCTCCATAAGCATTTTCAAAGGGCCTTATAGCATATACTTATTTCAATATTATTGTCAAATATTTTAATAATTATTTAAAAAATATTTCATTACATGGTATTTATACAAATCTAGTTAATTGCATCATAGGTTCCTAAACCATAACCTTCATTTTAAATTTATCCTTAAACTTTTGAATATTCTAATGTCATCTTTAAACTATGACCCTCATTCTAAATTAGTCTTTAAACTTTTGAATATTTCAATTTCATCCCTAAATTATGATTATCTTTCTAAGTTAATCCTTAAACTTTTGAATATTTCAATTTCATCCCCAAATTCATCCATATATGTAATTAGTTTCAACCATGGTTTAACCTAATTTTCCCCCCAAACTTATACTAATATAATTTGGCCTAACGATTCCATTGACAAGGGATGTGAGTAGTATATACATATAATTTAGGATGAAATCGGAATCTTCAAAAAGTTTATGGACCAATTTAGAATGAAGATCTTAGTTTAGGGATGAAATTGGAATGTTCAAAAGTTTAGGGACTAATTTAATATATTTAAAATTTTAATGAACAATTTAAAATTAAGGTCATACTTTGAGAACATATGTTGCATTAACTCTCTAATAAATCTATTTACAATAAGAGTAATGTTGTAATGGTTACAAATATGAATAGTTTGAGATGGTTACAAGGTAGTATTTATTCATAACTTTCTTAATTAATTGACAAAACACTCTCTGTAGATGCAACTGCTCGAATCCATGATCTTTAGGGCGTGTTTGGCTCACGTCTTATTAGATTACCGGGGGAATGGAATGTCATTCCCCTGTTTGGTTGGCCATCAATCATATTCCCCGATAATCTTTTATTCCCAACAGTGGTATTTTTGGGGTATATTATCGGGAATGTGATTACCCCCATTCCCTTAGGTATTGTTAGATTATCGGTGTTTTGGACTAAAATGCCCTTAAAATTTTATTTTTTTCTTCAAAAATATCCTTCTTCTGTCGTTGAATAATAAAAATTCTACGGAGGTTAAATTACAAATTTATCCTTAAGCTATTTTAGATTTACAAAAAAAAGCCCATAATTATAATTTTATATGAAGTTTAGGGGTTAAAATAAAATTTTACCCTTTCATTAAACCTATTTATCTTTTCAATTTTGTCAAAAAAAATTATATAAATTTTATGAATTCAAATTTTTTAAAGAAAATATATAAATTAATTATAGTAATATTATAGTAGAATTCAACTTGTTAAAAAACAAATATATAATAAGGACAATTTGCTAAAATATACATTCCAATAATCTTTTATTCCTTTTACCAAACATTGTAATCTAACATTCCTGCTAAACGAATCAAACACAAAATACAACATTCTTAGTAATCTTATTCCCGCCAGTAATCTTATTCTCACTGATAATCTTACATTTATGAACCGAACGCACCCTTAAGGAGAATATCATTTTCTTTTACCGTTGAAGCCACTCGATAACTTCACCATCATAATCATTTTATTATAAGCATTGAATTGTAGAACTAATTTAACTATTAAGATATCAATCAAACGCATATATTTGTGGAGTCTAAATTTTAGAGTAAGTGTATCGAATAATACAGTGAAAGCATTGTGGACCATTTCTACAAAATGTATGCGTATGATACAGTAGTTCTCTGTAGAGTTACGAGGAAGAACGCTCAGCCGCCATGTGATCCTTGGTTCGAAAAGCTCTATCAGAGTTTCCCTTAATTCAACCGGTGGGAGGTCGAGTCCATGACCTAGGAATTCGAGGCATTCAAACAGGGTATTAGCATTCATAACCTTAACTCATAATTTTGATTGTCGGAGGTCTTTCTCGAAAGTTGCTCTCAACCTAGCGTTGGGGGCAATCTACTATTTTACCTTCCCCTCACCCCATTATATATAGGAATATGATCTGCTAATTTATGTGATAACCTTAACTCTAACCATTTAGTGAAAATAAGTTAACAAAATTATATTTATTTAATTAAAAAATAATATTTAATTAATGTAGAATTAAAATATAATATTAACTTAATTAACAATATTTTATACATATCATTATTAGAGATGTCAATAGATAGGATCGAACTAAGTTTCTAAATGAAAATAAGATTGACGAGTGGAGAGATTGGTGTAGTGAGTTTGGTGGGGTGCGCATGCTGCAGCAGAAGTGAGTATTATGGTCATAATGGGGTGTGCCACCCACCCATAAGTTAATATTTACATTTTGAATCATTTCTTCCTTTCAAAAAATTGCAAAACCTTTTTTTTAATATAATTGGTATCATATTTATTAATCAATTAATATGAACATGTATTATAAAGACGAGAACAACCTTTTAATTCACTTTGCTCCATTCGGTAAATATCAATATTCGAATCTTTAACACCACAAAACTTTTATTTAAAAACTCACCATTCTCCATCATTGCCTCCCAATTAGGGATGGGCACGGATCGGGTTTGGGTCAACTTTCGATTGGCCCGATCCGACCCAAAAATTTTACACCCTGAATTCGATCTGATTTTTTGAGATAAAATCTGAACCCGATCTGATCCGCTCCAAAATAATATATGTATTAAAAATATTATTTTATTCAATAAAAACATATTTTATTGAAAAAAGGTATTAAGAGGGGTATTGTTGTAATTATTCTGAAATATATATAAGATAAAATTATATTTTTTTCTCAAGTCGGGTCAGATCGGATATTTTTCATCCTAAAACCGAACTTGATCCAACCCGACTCAAATACAACCTCTAAAAAATCTAATCAAATCCAATCCAAACCTAAATCTTTTTTTTAAAAAAAATCTCAATCAGGTCAAAACTCGTTGGGTTGAAATCCCATGTCCATCCCTATTCCTAATCCTCTTATTTTGTGTATATTTTGTTGTCCTGCACCACCATTTCTATTTCTATAGTAAGCTAAGTTAAAGAAATAATATTTTTGAAAAAATAAATATTAAAGGCAACTTAAGAAAATATAGAACATTATCTTATTGAATCAACGTTTTGAAAGCAACAACGAATCTAGTTGATATAATTAAAATATTATTTTGTTATATTATATTCTAATCAATATATTAATATCTAAATCAGATAAATATCATATTTATAATAATTTTTAACGTTTTGATAGTTAATTAAAATAATTTTTATTCAATAGTTAATTAATTATAAATACATATTATTAATGATAGATTCAAATATTTGTAAATAAAAATTAAAAATTTAATACTCATTATTTCAATAAAATGAGTATTTTAATTTTTTATTCCATTAATATATTAAAATATATTTAATAATTTATTAAAGATAATAGATATGCATTTGACCCCTATTAGTTCTAATAACTTATAGAAAATAATGAATATGCAATAGACCCCTCTAGTGCCAAAGTACATCTGCTCATACATTTTTTAATGAGATATTTTTATATGTGTTTAATTGATAATGTTATATATTTTATTATCACTTTATGATATAATATATATTATATTATTATTTTAAATGATGCAATGCATGTCACAATATTATTTTGATGACATCATATTATTATATTGACATAACATGTATCACATAATTAATTAAAAAATATAAAAATATTATATTAATAATAAGTGTTGATTGTTAGTCAACTAAAGATTTAAGTTAAAAAATAATAGTAATTAAAATATTAAATACTTATATTAATAAAATTATTTATATACTTACATAAATTTATATATATATATATATATATATATTATAGAAATAACTAATTTTATTCAAAATATGAAATATCCTAAATTACAATAAAAATTTATATTCACAATTGTAAATTAAACATATAATTAGAAAAATCCCTATAATCATTTAAACAAAACTAGCAACTTAAGATCACATAAGGATCATACAAGGAAAAAAAATTAAATCTAACTAAGAAATTTGAACAAAGATAAATACAAACAAATCTGATTGAATCGACAAGCGAACCACAAAATATGATCAAGGTATTCAAAAATCACCGACAAAACTGTAAATTAGACTCGAGTGATGTGAAAAACCATCAACGAACACAAATAAGATAGGGGCGGAACCAAGGTGGGGCAAAGGGAGCCTTGCCCTTGCCAATTATAGTTTTAATTATTTTATTTTATAAAAATATATATTTTTTAAAATAAAAAAAAGTTATCAGATGCCCTCAATTAAAAGAAATTTTATTTATGAAAAATAAAAAAAATATTTTAGCCCATGCTATAATAAATTTATAGTTTCGCTCCTGAAATCAGGTATTCAAATTCAATATGAGAGTCCAAAGTAGAGAAGATCAACAAGATATTAGATAAATGTCATCATGATCAGTCGTGACAATGTCAAATTAATCATAAAAAAATAAATAAAAAAATCCAAAGAACAAAAAAATTATACGAAAAAAACATAAAAAAATATGTCATAAATACAAATGAAAGCGTACAACACATATACATTTATTAAAAATAAAAAAATAAAATAAATATATAATATAAGAAAAAATAATCGACAATCTATATCAAAATTAAAGATGCCGTCAATTAATAAAGATAAAAATAGATAAATGGTACACAAACAAGAAAAAATTAGGTTTTTTTCTTTATAATTTCTAAAGTATATATATATATATATATATATAATTTAGACAATTTTTACATTAGGTCTGGAATATCTATAAACACTGGTACCGTACTTAGTATCGGCATTCCCCATGTAATTAGATACGATTACATGTCTTATCAAAGATCTTCCCCCCAAATGAAATCCCAAAGTTAAGTTGGCAACATTAATCATCATCTTCCTCACTTCATTAAGCCTACAAATCATCATTCTTCCTTGCCCTCAACCCTCATGCCTTCCCACTCCCAATCCCAATCTCCCTATAAACTCCCCTCTCTTATCCTCCATCAACCTCCCACCATTTTGTTCTTCTTTTCAACTCTGTTTTTCCGATTTGGTCAAGGTTTTTCCGGCAATGGCTGTTTCTGGTTTCGAAGGCTTCGAAAAACGGCTAGAGCTTCATTTCAACGGAGACGACAATGGCCTGGCGGCAGTCAAACTCGGTCTCCGGCGAATTGATTTCGATTCAATTAACAAAGTCCTACGTCTCGTCCAATGCGACGTCGTTTCGGCCGTCGGAAACCATTTCTTCGATGCTTACGTGTTATCAGAATCGAGCTTGTTTGTGTACCCAACCAAGATGATCATCAAGACATGTGGGACCACTCAGGTTCTCAAATCGATCTGGCCCTTGATACGCTTGGCGAACGATCTCGGCCTCACGTTATGCGGGTGTAGGTACACTCGAGGCAGCTTCATCTTCCCTAAATCACAGCCGTTCCCTCACGTTAGCTTCAAGCAAGAAGTGGTTTACATCGAAGAGAATTTACCGGACAATCTTTGCTTCAGGAAAGCATCTGTTATGCTCTCGAAACTCCCTTCGTGTTCGTGGCATGTTTTCTCCGCCGGAAACGGTGATCATTTCCTTTCCGGTGACACTTTCACCGTCGAAGTTTGCATGACGGGACTTGACCGAGTAATGGCTCGGAAGTTCTTCCAAACAAACCACCACTCGTCGGCTGCAAAGGGAATCGAAAACATTAATCCCCGAGCTTTCGTTTGTGATTTAGAGTTCGATCCTTGTGGTTATTCGATGAATGGGGTCGACGGTGATCGTTACTCGACGATCCATGTTACGCCTGAAGAAGGGTTCAGCTACGCGAGCTTCGAGTGCGTCGGATCCGTTTACGATGACCAGGACGACATTTTCCACACCTTGAAGAAAGCGGTTCAGGTCTTCAAGCCGGCGACGGTTTCGGTCTCGACTACGAGCCATCAACGTGAGGGTCGGACGAGGGTGGCTCGTGCCATGGAACCGTTGGGACTCAATTGCCGGAGTTTTGCTATGGACAAGTTCCCTGCCGCCGGTACGATTGTTTTTCAGACGTTCACGGCGGCTCGCAGAAAATGATACCGGGAAAAAGGACAGCATCATCAACGACTACGAAAGGTGGATAAGATGTTAAAAACAGTGAAAGTAGATAGGGTTTTTTGTTGGGGGCATTTTCGAGGTCAAATTGTAATTTTGGTCCAGTACTATACTAAAACATTAAGACTTAGTCCTTATATTTTATTTTGGTATAATTTCATCATCTATTGTTACAATATCATTACTTAGTATAATTCATTAACATTGTTAACTATTATATTTAAAATATGAACGAGTTTTACCTTAAAAATATAATTTCAACTCATCATATTAACATAACTTTCGATACGAAGTGATTATGCTTATGTCATGAGGTTATTATCTTATTTTCAAAACACATGTTTGATAGGATATGCTTCATCACAACTTATAACTTCAAGATTCTCTCTCTCTATCTTTGTGATATGGGATCCATGTCGCCTACCTCTCTAAGGTGTGATATTCTCTCTCATTCAATCTTGTCACAAGCCATTGTTATGGTTGTCCATCTCGTCTATCCTATCACTAGGACGCTCGATGTTAAATTAGAAAGTCAAACAATTACTATGATATTACTGTCATGAGACTATTATCCTCTTTTTTAAAGACATGTCTGATAGGGTGTGCCACCATCTATAAACTCAAGATCTCTTTTTCTTTTCTAATATGAGATTCATACATTTACTTTTCCGAGAAGTAACATTTGTATCATCTTCTTTTATATTGAAGTGGACAGATTTAAGAAAAAAACATCAATAATTGAATTAATTCAGTTTTTAGATTAATAAATGATATTATAAAATTATAGGATCAAATTATGGCAAAATTATATATGTGTATTATTTTCAAATTTAATCACAGTATAGGGACCAAAATTAAAATTTGACCAAAAGTTTAAAAGGATAAAAAGGAGCGGTCGGAAACTTATGATGACGTGGATGGGTTCGGGTACAAATGGTCATGAATTTGGGGTTGACTAAAGCAAAAGGTCAAAGTGAAAAGAATGACGGTGATGGTTTGGGATGATGACGTGGCAGTATCGGAAAGGTGGGGGAGCAGGGGTGTGGGAAACTGGAATCACCATGATAATGCACCCTACTTAGGAATATGCTCATGGTTTCCACCGTTAAAAATTTAAAACTTTAATAAGTTGTTTTGTCATCGTCAAATTTTAATTTTAGGGTTTTAAAATTATAAAAATTTCTTAGATCAATCGTGATAATCAATCGTTTGATTGGATGTGATAGTCGGTCGTTTGTCCTTTGACCGTTTGTCGGTTGGATGTCGTGGCAGGAGAGGAGGAGAAGGGAGAAAAGGGAGGGAAACGAGGGACGTCACTGTTTTTTTAAATTAATATAAATTATATATTTTTTTAAATTCAAAAATACCATAATATGACACTTGTCATTTAATGGAGATTTTTAACGGCAGTTAATGTCTGCACACCTAAAATAGTAATAGAGAAACGTTAGACACCAATTTTTAGCGAAAAATTCTTTAGGTACTAAAACGTTTTTTAAAGAAAAGTTTAGACACTTATTTTTGTATTAAGATAATATTATAATTAAACTTTTATTATTTATCTAAAGGTAATTTTAATGTAATATATGTTTGAAAGACTCTTAACTCATTTGACAATAAATATTCAAAAAGCCTTGACATTCGTTGTACCTGAACCCGATAATTCTAAGAATAACAAACATCTTTTTAACCACCGACATAACTTGATTCATTATAATTAAACTTTTTTATTAGATATATAATGTAGCACAATATATTAATTATTGGTAACTTAAAAATAAAAAAGGAAAGAATGTGACCTTTTTTATAAATTGTCCAAGTCAATTCGTCATTAATGTTTAAAACTTTCCCATAATAAAAAAGGGATAATTGCATCATATATCCCTAAATTATATGATCCTTATTCTTGCTCTTCAAACTTTTAAATATTTTAATTTCATCCTTAAATTATGACTTTTATTCTAAATTAATACCTAAACTTTTGAACCTCCTAATTTTATCCCTAAAACATGACCCTCATTCTAAATTAGCCACTAAACTTTTGAACATTAAGTTTCATCCATAAATTCATCCAAATAAGTAATTAGTTTCAACCATGATTTAATTTAAATATTATTTTTATAAAACATATAATAAAATAGTTTGACCTAACGGTTTTATTAACACATGATGTGATTAGTATATACTAATAGTTTGGGGAAAAATTGAAATGTTAAAAAATATAGAGACTAATTTGGAACAAGTGTTATAATTTGTGATGAATTGAATATTTAAAATTTTAGAGATCAATTTAAAACACGAGTCATTTTGAGAATGAAATTACAGTACTTGAAAGTTTAAGAGTCATAGTTGTTGCTGTTATTGTTGGGTAAGAGAGGAGTGAGAGAAATAATTGAAGTTCAAGAGGTAACTAAAAGTTTTTCATGGCACAAGACTGTCTGGTATCCCCTTCATATTCCCAAATTTAGCATTATTACTTGGCTTGCAGTCTTGGATCGTCTTCCTACTAGAGAAAGACTTACTCGTATGGGAATTACAAACATTGCCTCTTGCATCTTATGCAATGATGGCATTGAAACGAGGAATCATTTGTTTACTGAATGTCCTATGGTTGCTGCTCTTTGGAATAGAATTCTAAATCTTTCTCTTTTGGATAAGCCTCATATGTTTTGGGATTCTTTTCTTGCTTGGGCATCTTCGATTTGGAAAGGAAAATCTCTCCTTACAATCATATTGAAGATTGTCTGGTGCTCATTCATTTACTACGTTTGGGAAGAAAGAAATAGACGTTTATTCCAAGGACGTGTTAGAACCATTGATGATTTGCACTTTTCAATCAAAGAGATTGTTAGTGCTCAACTTAGGAATAGAGATACTAATAGTCTTGATTTTGTTAATATGCAACTTATGACTAATTGGGGCATAGGATAATCTTTATTTTGTTGTAATTAGCTTGTTTTTATCCTTGTTTGGATTCTTTGTATTGTGAACTTCTTTGGATAATAAAATTTACTTATCCAAAAAAAAAAAAAAATTTCATGGCGATTTTCTTGGTTGAGTTTTGGTAAGTTGAAAAGTTAAAGTTGTAGAGGTGGTTGACAAACTGGTTAATAGACTCTCTAGCATGACAATTAACGGTCTAGGTAAGCGATTAACGGACCGGATAAGTTTTTTGTCACTCACGTTAACATTTGTTAACATCATATGACCAATTTGTTCTAAATAAAAAAAAGTTGGTGATCAGTTTATTAATTTTAAAACTTCAATGGAGAAAATAAAAACTTACTCAAATATTAGTAACCATTTGTATAATTTACCCTATAAAAATGATTTCTTACATAATTATAAAGTCAAAAATATTTTTCTAGAGAGTGACAGAAAAATTTCAATGCACAAATAATAATAATAATAATAATAATAATAAAACTTCAGGAAAATCAAATCGTCGCTTATATATATATATATTCCTCCTTTTTCCACCGATGCTATGAGATAGGCGAATTTTCTCAAACAAATAAGCATTCAATCGGGTATGTTTCCGGTCATCGGAATCTGATCGTTAATCTAATGATGCGGTTCTCTGTGTTACCTCTTCAGTGACTCAAATTATAATTATTTTGTAATATTTCGTTGATCTATTGATTTTTTTAAAAAAAAATTAGATTCTAATTTTGGGTACTGATAGATTGAATTCAAGTTTTGAGGTTTTACTCGCTGGGTATGTTGTTTATAACTCGATTAATTAGTTTTTTGAATCTGAGCTGTTTTATTTTTGATTGATTTCTTCTTCTTCTTCTTCTTCTTCTTGTTGCAGAATTTTGATTGTTGCTGTTTTTAATTTTGATAGTTGAGATTAAAAGGTACGATTTCGATTTTTAATATATAATACGAAATTAGCAGTACTTTTAGTTTGCTAGTGGATGATCTAATGAGCTTATTATGTAATCCTTTCAAATTTGGAATTTGGATTCAGGATTGTGTTTTTGATTAAGTTTGGCGAATGGGTAATTGGATAGTTTAGTTTTTGCATTGAGGATTGAGAGATAGTTTGATATTGTTGTTCGTTCTTGATGCAGCTTAAAAATGGCATCAATGGTTCTTAAAGGTAGTAGCAGTAGTAGTCATGTACCTCCGTTGATGTCGACTCAAGAAAAAGGTAGCCGGAATAAGCGAAAATTCCAGGCTGATCCACCATTAGGTGATCAGAGTAAGATTATAACCTCACCTCAAAATGGTTGCCCAAGTTATGAGTTTTGTGCTGAGAAGTTCGAAATCACCCCAGTCCATCATCAAGCTAGTGTGTGCGACATGTGTGGTGTTAGCCAAGACCATTATGACGGATTAAAACTCGACCTGAGATTGTCTAGCACATTAGTTTCTTCTGAGGTTGGGCCGAGTCGGCCTAAAGAGGAACTTGAGGCAGATGAATTCCAAGATGCTGATTGGACTGATCTCACAGAATCTCAGCTAGAGGAACTTGTTTTAAACAATTTGGACGCAATATTCAAGAGTGCAATAAAGAAAATAGTTGCTTTTGGCTACACGGAAGAAATTGCTACGAAGGCAGTTTTGAGATCAGGCCTTTGTTATGGTAGTAAAGACACCGTCTCAAATATAGTGGACAATACCTTAGCATTTCTTAGAAGTGGCCAAGATTATCATCCTTCAAGAGACCACTGTTTTGAGGATCTGCAGCAGTTGGAGAAGTATATATTAACAGAACTGGTTTGTGTTCTTCGAGAAGTTCGACCTTTCTTCAGCATTGGGGATGCTATGTGGTGCTTAATGATTTGTGATATGAATTTGTCGCATGCTTGTGCTATGGATGGTGATCCGTTGAATGGTTTTGTTGGGGATGGAGTTTCCAATGGGTTTTCTATTGCTTCGAAGCAGCCTCAGTTGAAACCCAAAGCCGAAACCTCTGAATTGAATCTTCCAAATCCATGTAGACTGGTTCCGTCCTTTCCTTGTTCTCATAGTTCCCCACCTGAGGTACCGTCTATCAGATCTAACAACACTGAAAAATTGAAGAATTCCGTTGTTCCAAGTGGTGTAGTCTCAGAGAAAGTGGGAACAAACTCCTTTGCTGGTGGTGCAGATGAAACTTTCAGTGCGGCAGGAACATCTCAATTTTCGACAATGGAAGAAAAGTTAGTGGGTAGTAGAAAGACTCACTCTACCAAGAGAGAAAATCTTCTCCGGCAGAAATCACTTCATCTGGATAAAAACTACAAGACATACGGATCTAAAGGGTCATCAAGAGGTAAACTGAGCAGTTTGGGAGGTTTAATCTTGGACAAGAAAGTAAAATCTGTCTCTGACCCTGCTGCTTTTAATATAAAAAGTTCTTTGAAAATTAAGGCAATGGGAGCCGATGTCCCTCAAGATAATAGGAGTCATCTTTTGGTTAATTCGGAACCCTCCTCTTCCACAACATTTTGCTTAGATAATGATAACAATATTTCTCCAGTGCCTAAGTCCGATGTAGCAACTATTTCTTCCCCGGTAAACATGCCACCTGAATTTCCACCTATGAATAACCCATCTGCATTATCAACTGCTGATACCGAGCTTTCCCTTTCACTTCCTACCCAAAGCAATTCACCTGTGATGCCTTCTGTTTCTTGTTCCGAGGCTGCTAATCCAAGCTATGTTGAGATGCCATTTGGTAATTACTTGGGGAATTGGGTCCCTCGGGATAAGAAGGATGAGATGATTTTGAAGCTGGTACTGCGGGTGCAAGAACTACAAAATCAGCTCCAGGAATGGACTGAGTGGACTAACCAAAAGGTTATGCAAGCTGCTCGTCGGTTAAGTAAGGACAAAGCTGAACTTAAAACATTAAGGCAAGAGAAAGAAGAAGTTGAACGGCTTAAGAAAGAGAAGTTGAATTTGGAGGAAAACACTAGGAAGAAGCTTGTCGAGATGGATGTTGCTTTGTCCAAGGCTAGCGGGCAGGTGGAACGTGCTAATGCTACTGTCCGCAGGCTTGAGGTGGAAAATGTGGCAAAAAGGCAGGAAATGGAGGCTGCAAAATTACGAGCAGCGGAGTCAGCAGCTAGCTGTCAAGAGGTATCAAAGAGGGAGAAGAAAACTCTGATGAAAGTCCAGTCTTGGGGAAGGCAAAAAACCTTGTTCCAGGAAGAGCTCATGACCGAAAAATGCAAGGTCACCCAACATCTACAGGAATTACAAATGGCTAAGGTTATCCAAGAACAACTTGAGGTATATCTTAAATAATGTTTAATTTGCAAGCATTTCTTTTTCTTTTGTCCTTTCCTAGTTCTCTCCTTATAGGAAACAGTAGTAATCCTTGATATATTCGGTTAACTCTTACCAGTAGTTTTTGCAAGTTCTGTAAAAATGAGACTTGTTGAGGAAGGTATCCATTGCATGATGGATACTGATAGGTTATCGTGTGACGTATTTTGAATGGTTAAAAGAAGCTTTCAATCAACTCAAAGCAGAAATTTTGATCTAAAATCTTTTGTATGGAAGTTTTTGGTGTCATGTTTCGTGTAGTCTTTTTGACATTTACATCATATAAGCACATCAAAGACAATCGGTAAACTCTTCTGATATGGCCGATGGATATGGTAAACACATGTACATGGTGCTTGTAATGGAAATAAGTTATGTTTTTTTTATGGTAAAAGGTATTGCAAATGCGGGAAAAAGGAGTCCGATTATTTTCCGTTTTCCCGTTGTATGACATACTAGAAGACTATCGCTAACCAAAATTTCTCCAGATTTGTGTGTCAATTCTATGCTTAATTTCTTTTCTTTATTTCCAATTTTAGTTTACATGATTCATCTAAATTTTGATGCCAAAATTGATCAGAAACTAATATTTTCTATACCCTCTCTCCCATCTAATATTAGATCTTAATGTTTGGTTGTTGGAGTTGTCCAATAGCATATTCATTTCACCTTCTGCTTTTGCTCACAGTTTTTCTCGTTTTTCCGATAAATTCGTGTTTCGGACTGATTGCGTATATAACAATGTCAATTGTATGATATCAAGGCAACACTCATATTAGTATTTTTTGGTATGCTACTATTTCGATGAAAACCGTCGTAATTTATGGCTTATGCTATGATGACTTTGTTCTCAATGAAAATCGAAAAACCATGGCAGGTTAAATGGCAACAGGAACTGAAGGCAAAGGAAGAAGTGCTTACTTGGGCTAGTTTGATAAGAAAGGAACGAGAACAAATCGAGGCTTCAGCAAAACTAAAAGAGGACATGATTAAGTCGAAAGCGGAAACCAGTTTGCAAAAATATAAAGAGGATATTCAGAAACTTGAACAAGAAATCTCTCAATTGAGACTGAAGACGGACTCTTCAAAAATTGCTGCACTTCGAAGGGGAATTGATGGAAGCTACGTTGGAAAATTTATGGATAGAAAATATAGCACAAACCAGACGGAATCTCGAACCCCTTTAATCTCAAAAATGGTGATGGATTTTAAGGACATCTCCGGGAAAGGAGACGTGAAACGCGAACGTGAGTGCGTGATGTGCTTGTCAGAGGAGAGGTCTGTGGTTTTCATCCCCTGCGCGCATCAGATAGTTTGCACCACGTGCAACGAGCTCCATGAGAAGCAAGGGATGAAAGACTGCCCTTCTTGTCGGAGTCTGATCCAGCGCCGTATCCCCGTCCGGTACGCTCGTTCTTAATTTTAATATTCAAAGCCAGTCGAGTGATTGTTCTGAATAATGTTTGTGGGAACTCTTTGAATTGAATAAATGCAATTTGAGCTGCATTTTTTGAGAGTTGAAAACAGTAAAAAAGTTGTATTTACAGTGCAAGATGCTTCATTTCATGTTCATCCTTATTTTAACGAAATTAATGATCTATTTAAAAGTTGAGATCCACAATGAAAATGATAAAATCCCAAATTTATATTGTATTGTGAATGAAACAAATTCAGTTAAAGGAATCGTTCTTATAACGAGTTTCTGGTGTACTCGATCTAAATTAGTTGGTCAATGATTTTAATACTAGTGTTTATACAAACTGTTTGGTTGGTGAGAAAACATAAAAGAAAAAGCATGTCAAAGGAACAAGAAATATATTTCTTTCAAGTTATAATTGGTGGTGTATTCCACATTTTTCTCTGTTCATCATAGCTTCCTATTACAGCTCAATCTATCTGCAAATTGTTCATGACATGCCATTGGATCAATGTTTTTCAATATCCGAACTACTTTCCCTTGCTCTTCATCAATCAAAATCTGCCCATCAATCGATTCATCGCCTTCTGCAACAACTTTGATGGCCATTTCTTCCATGGTGGACTTCAGTTTCGGATCTTCTCCTTCCATTAGTACAGCCCCGAGGATTTCGCCGAAGAATATATCCTGTGGAACAAAATAGATTCTGTTGTTTAGATAACGACGACGGTATTCGTTATGCATCTATAATCGCGATGACCATGAGGAACCGGAAACTTTACCATATGGTGATATCTGTGATGAGTTTGCTTCAAAGCGTATAGCTTGGACAATAGGCGCTTCACAAACTGAGACTCGGGAGTACTTGTCTGCTGCAGCCACTGTAAGGCTTCGGCAAACTGACTGACTTTGTGTTGAGTGCCGATCGGAATGAGCGTGATGTTTAAGCCGGATTCGAAGACTGTTTTCGCAGCGATCGGATCGAGAAACATGTTGAATTCGGCATATTTATTCGAGGAATAGTGAAGACATTGCCTTTGTCAAGGCTACTTTGGTTGATATGTCCAACTACAATATACACATTCTGAAATTACATTTGAAAATCACTGCTTGATTTCGTATTCGACACATACTCGAACATGGGTACGATGATATGATCCACTAAAACGGAAATATCGACATATAGTCGTGTTCGATACTCGTAACCGAAGGTAAAATTCGAGTACCTGTATGAGTGAAACTGTATCTGTTTGAGTTATAATCTTGGCTAAACTTGTCAACGGTCCATTTGTCAGTACAGTAATTTTAGTTCCATGATCCATAGTTTTAAATACTGAATTCCAAATTTCCAATGCCAAGGGTTGTCTCATTTCTGGGTGATCTGTGTCCCTTGGAGCTCCAAATCTCACCGAATTTTCTGCTGTATACCTGCGATAAATTGTGTAATCCGATTAAACCGACCGAACCGATTCAGTTAGTTTAATCGATTATCAATTTTAATATTCGGATACCTTCTGGGACTTCGTGGTAAGTCCCAGGCAAGGCCATAGAGGGTATCCGAATCCAGAAGTCCACCACTCCCATGTGTGATAGCCTTGGCATATTTACAGTCGCCAACAGGGCGGAAAAAATGGTCAGATTGGTTCGTTGCGAATACGTCTCCGAGACCGACCGGAATGTCGTCGCGCCCCATCATCTGCAGCAAATCGTAGACGATATCGATCGTTGCAGCATTGGCCCAACCTGTTGGACTCACTAATATTGCCTGGATATCCATTATGTTTCCATTGTTAGTGGCCGTTATTTATTACATATGATTGCAATAGCATTTGTTGTGTCCACAAACGATGCCGAAACAACTAACCTTAAGGTCAAGCATTTCGACAGGCACTTTGAGGAGATAAAACAAGGCCATGAAATCTCCGGCACTCATATCCATGTCGAAAACGACCGGTTTCCCCAATGTTTCGTCTCTGAAATCCGGTTTGTGAAAGACATGTCTGAAATGAGGAAATTCTGTTGTGAGATTGAACATCGCCGTGTTTTCGGGTCGATTTAAAACCTGCATTCGTTCCAGCAACGTTTAAGAGTAAGAGGAGAAAATGTAATAATTTTCGTGGGAATTTTTACTTACATCAATAAAGTTTAAGAAAAATTCTCTGTTGAGTTTGCTGGGAATGTTTTGATTGGATTTAAAATCATAAGAAAACGTGTCATAAAGATAGATGAAAACGTGCAACACAGACAAATTTATTTAAGATAAATAAATAAATAAAAATACGATATAGAAAGAAAAAGACAATAAAAAAAATCAATGGTCGACAATTAACATTAAAGTTTGTACAGCCGTCGATTAAAAAAGAAGAAAAAGAAAAAAATCGAGTTTTAGATTCAAGGAAATATTAAAATTATGTGGAAGGAAATATTAAAATCGAGTTTGGTTCACGGAATGTAAGATTATCAGTGAGAATGTAAGATTACCAGGGAATAGGATTACTGAGAATGTTGTATTTTGTGTTTGGTTGGTTTAGCAGGAATGTAAGATTACCGTGTTTGGTTAAAGGAATAAAAAATTATTGGAATGTATATTTGACCAAATTATCATTATATATTTGTTTTTTTAACAATTTGAAAAATATTTATATATTTTCTTTAAAAAAAATTAAATTCATAAAATTTATATATATAGTTTTTACAAAATTGAAAATATAAAAAATATTTAATGCAAGGGTAAAATTTTATTTTAACCCCTGAACTTCATATAAAATTTTAGTTATAGATTTTTTTGTAAATCTAAAATAGTTTAAGGATAAATTTGTAATTTAACCTTCGTAGAATTTTTATTTTTCAATGACAGAAGAATTATATTTTTAAAAGAAAAAAATTAAGGGCATTTTAGTCTAAAACGCCGGTAATCCAATAATACCTAAAGAAAAGGAGATAATGACATTCCCAGTAATATACCCAAAAAAATCTACTATTGGTAATAAAACATTACCGGAAATGAGATTTCTGGCCAACCAAACATGAGAATGTGGATTCCATTCCCATAAGAATCTCACATTCCTTGATCCAAACACCCCCTTAATCTCGGGTAAGATCCTGAATGTTACCTCATCTTATTTTTGTCTAACGTGACACGTTACCTCCCGTTAACCCTTCTTCTTCTTCTTTAACAACACAAGTGAGATTGTTTTTACCAGTTTGATGGTGGTGGAAGAAGCTTTTGCTTCAGTGAACTCGTATAGAACACAACTTCGGTGTGAAGGACATCATTTGTGAAAAGATCATTCTGCAATAATTTTATAACAAACATGAAGTAATGTCTGAATAAACACAATAGTTTCATACATAATTTTCAAGATCTGTATAATGACACTAATTTCACACAGAATTATTTATAAAGCCAACTTCACTCTCCTATTCATCTTCAGAAACCTCACTCTCAGGTTCAGTTTCAGAAACTTCATTCTCAGATTCAGCTTCAGAAACTTCATTCTCAGATTCAGCTTCAGAAACTTCATTCTCAGATTCAGCTTCAGAAACTTCATTCTTAAATTCATCTTTAGAGATTTTACTCTCAGATTCAGCTTCAAATGGGCACGAGTCCAATGCCAAATTTGAGGAAGCTGCAATTTCTTCCTCCTGCGAAAGCATGGATCTTGGTGTCATACTTTATTATAATTTTAAAATTTTAGTACAAAGCAATGTGGACTTACCGAATCGAGCGCACAACTAATGTGAGCAACGAATGTTCCTCCTCGACACTTTGTGCAGTGATAGGCATGATATGTAGCCTCTCTTTCTTCTTCACAGATATCACAATAATATTCCCCTGAATCATCTTCTTCGAAACCATCCTTACGAGTTAGAGTTAAAGGATGGATGTGGTATTTGGATTTGAGTGAACGTGGCAAAACACATTCAATATGGAACTTGGTATCGCATTCCATGCAGAAACAGAAACGAAACTGCCCAATTGGATGATTGCATTCACCGCATACCTTGAACTCGTAACCGTAAGGCTCGGATCCAAAATAGTAGAGACGATGAGTGTGAGACTTAGATTTTAGGACCCGCTTCAAGGATTTGGCACAATCAGCATGGAGATACAGATCATCACACTGCACGCAACCATAGCTTATTTTTTGGAATTCGAACGAACCTTTGCAGACGCGACAAGGCTGTGATGGGTTGAACAGAAGGTGAAGTGGGTGTAGCGGATGGAATTGGATTTGCATTTCCAGTGGAATAATTCCAACACACCTTTCATGAAGAGAATATTCACACTCAGAGCATTGGAATACCGGACCTAAAATATTTAGACCACAAAAACCGCAATTTTCATATCCTAGTAAATCGGATATAATAACAAAGTATCCCAACTCATGGTGGTGATTGAAAAGGCACAACTTGGATTGTGTTTCCATATCCTTTAGCCTTTGAGTCTCATTTTTAGGCACCCATGAAGAAGTAGCACATTTCACATCCAGTTTGAAATCACACGCATAACATATGTAAGCAAACCCTGGATTCAAGCTTCGACATCCTTGGCATATTAAATAAGAACGGGGCCGCGCTGATAACCGAGGGTTTAACTTGAGAGAATGTTGGGGGTGAAGAGGATGCAGCACTTGAGAGGGCAATCTAATGCATGTTTTGTGTATGTAGTAATATCTGCATCTTTTACATGCATAAGCTCCATCTGAGATTTCAAGCCAACAAGCATAGCACCTAGCTCCCCTTTCAATATCCTCATCAAACATCAGCTCATGTCCTCGTTCACAATGCATAATCTGTATTAAGTGAAAAAGAAAAAACCAACTTAATGAATATGCTTACCAAGATATAATTCATACTTGTTCTTAATTGCATTTTCCCCTTTTATATATCTTAACTCGTACGTATTGTAATATTTTAAAATAATTTCTTTAATTTAAAAACAATTTTATGTTATATGATTGATTTAAGTTATATGATCTCTCTCGCACTTTACAAAACTACAATAATTTTGTTCATTGTCATACAATTTATTATTTTAAATTTACTTATTAATATATGTATTGGATTATAATGCGTGTACTAAACATAATATAAATTATTACATTAATATATTTTATAATACAATTAATATTTAATTTATTGATAGCAACTCAAATCTTATATATATAAACTTAATACATATCATTTTTTACCCTTAATAAAAGAAAAAAATCCCATAAAAAAAATTCTAAAAATCACACTTTTACTTTGGCAATATATGTATTAATAATTGATACCAACCTCAAAAGGAGAGAAGTTTGCATTTCTCTCGTTTATTTCATCTTCCTCCATCAGTTTTCCTGTTGAATCTTTGTCACCCACCAAGTTATAGGTTGGCTCATCTTTTATCTGAGACATTGCCAACATTAAAGCAAAAATGAAGAAAACAAATTGGATCTGATATGAGCAGTAAATGTGAAAAAGGATTAAATAAGCTTTTCACAAATCGCAACATACCTCATTGAGAGCGCATCCAATATGAGCAGTAAATGTGCATTTGTTACAACAATAAACGGGATCGTATGCGTTTCTTTCTTCTTCGCAAATATCACAGTAGTAATGGTCAGAATAATCCTCAAGAAACACATCAGTAAACATAAGTTCATGCCTGTGATATTTGTGTTTAATACTTAATGGTATCAAACAACGAAGATGAAAATTGAATCCACATAAAACACATCGATAATAATAACAATTAAACACAGAGTCTTTGCTAGGACGAATCTCCTCCGAGCACTTCTTACATGGATCTAATTCCTGATAAATTGACGAGGATTTCGTTGGAAGAAGGATAAGACTATGATCATGCAACTCATGTTTCAGACTAGGTTTGAATTTAGCACAACTAATATGAATGAGGAATTGACACTTTTCACAAATGTATCCTTGAAGAACAGCATACCTAGTGCGATAACCACATACATCGCATGAAAAGGGCGACACACTATACCAATATATTAACTGAAGCTGGTGGGATGAATGAAAGTGATGTTTTGAGATTATATTGGGTATGTTGATCAAACAAGTTTCATGAACGAAGGACTCTGATGGGGGACATTTAAAACAACCATAAGAGACTCTAGACAAAAGCTTCTCACACCAAAAACAACTATAGTGATACTTGCTCACTTTACGATACTTGAACCGTGTCAATGAATGAAAATGACAGAAATGAGGGATTTCTTTATATCCATGACTAGTGATAGTAGTTGAAGAAGCACAAATGTGATCAAGGTTGAAGTTGCAATCTGCACATCGGTACAAGCAGCTTCGAGTAAGACTGGAACACCCATTACAAAAGAAATGGGAAGAATCATCATCTTTCTCGGTGACCAATTTAAGAGGGTGTTCTGAATGGAGAGGATGTGAAATTTCAAGAGGCAGTTGTTTCACAGCACATGAACGGTGTAGCCAAAACTTGCAGGTTTCACAAGTGAAGGCCCAACCATCAATTTGCTGATTGCATCTATCACAACAACCCTCTTGTTTTTCATATTTATCGTAAACCAAGTGGTGTTCATGAAGGAAAGGTTTGAGGTTCATCCTCTCAAATGCAAATAGAAAGGAAAGATGGAGAGTAGATGGTTAGAGATATATTCAGGAGCTTAGAATATATAGAGAGAAAAAGAATGTCACATTGCAAGCCTGAAAAATACATTCTATATATATATAACACATCTCTTGTGATTAGAAGAAAAGAATATCACTTTTTTTCTATTTTAATAAACATAAAAATATTCATTGGTAACATAAGATTCGATGTTAACTTTAAGTAAAGAATATTAACCTTGCTTTCAAATTAGTTTACTTCTATTCATTGGTGGAGCAAAGCAACACAGAGGAACATTGGTACTGGCGAAAGATGGTGTGGAGGTTAAATGATGGAGGGAAAAGAAATAGAAAAAAAAAATTAGTACATATTATGAAATAATATTTAATATTTATTTCATTTTAAGAAAATAGTTATCGGATCAAATCGTTATTTCTTTAAGAAAATTTAAATAATAAAAAATTAAATGATGAATTTATGGTTTAAATTTTTTGATATTTTATTTAGAACAGATATAATTAGATCGTTTGACAAATATAAGTTTTAAGAGTTAATATAACTAAATAAAAAAAAGTATTGAAAATATTTTCCGTTTAGTGATAAATAGGTCCTTAACTACTCAACATTTTGTACATTATTTTCATTAAAATTACAACGGATATTTTTTATTTTAAATTATCAAATATTTTTAAAATATTATCAATAAATTTTTTAATTTTCAAAAAAATAAATTTTATTAATGTATTATTAAATATGTCTTAAGTATTCGACATTGTTACTAAATCTTTTGCATTAAAAAATACTTAAACAAAAAAATAATATTTCATATTTTTTATAGAAGAAAGGAATGATACTTTTCCCATTTTCCTAAACATAAAAATAATTTATAAGTAATCTAAGATTCAACGGTAACTTTAACTTAAATAAAGAATATCTGAAATTTTAAGAGTTTGATATAATTTACTGGTAGAATTAGGGATGGACATGGGTCGGGTTTCGGCTAACCCGACCCGACCCGAAAATTTTACATTCTTCACCGACCCGACCTGACTCGAAAATATATACCCTCCACTCGTCTCAAATTCATATTTTTTGAGATAAAATCCTAATACAATCCGAAATAATAAAAAATATTATTTTTATTCAATAAAACAATGATTTAATTGAACAAATAATATATAGAGTTGTATTATTGTAATTATTCCTAAATATATAAGGTAAAAAAATTTCGGGTCGAGTCGGGTGTAGGCTGAACATCACCTTTAAAAGTCCGACCTGACTCAAACCCATTTTTTTTTAAAAAAATCCACCCCGATCGAATCGGATCAGGTCAGAACCTGTTGGGTTCGGGTCTCATGCCCATCTCTTAGGGATGGCAAACGGGCGGGTTGGGTGCGGATACCCCCTCCCCCATCCCCATACCCACCTAATATTTTTCAATCCATCACCCGCCCACCACCCATGATGGGTACAAATTTTTAAATCCACACCCGCCCACGCGGGTACATTCTCAAATCCATCCCCACACCCACTACCCACAAGCGACGTATCCGTCTAGACCCGCCTGAAAACAAACTTTTTTTTTACGGAAGAGGTTTCGGGTTTTGGCTTTTATGAAAAGCAATGATATGTAAAGATGAATTTATATTTACAGTCCTTCCAACCAGAGTCATAAATTTGATGAAATTATTAATGTCTTTATCACGTTCACAGGTGCGGTCAATAAAATACATTCGTGCTATGCTTGAGACCCTCTGGAAATCTTTTCAGCTTTGAGTGTATATAATGGTTCATACTCAACGAAGAGGTTTGACAGGTAAAATTCCAGAATAAGTTTATCTACACCAAACATATGGTATCTTGCTAATTCACAATTCACAATTCCAGAATAAGTTTTGACAGGTACAATCAACTCAATGATATCAAATACTTCTTGTGGTACAAACAATATTCCCAATAACAATATTTGGTTAAATTACATGTTATATCTTATACAATATTACAATTTATAAATTAGTCTCTAAAATTACACCTAAATTCATAATGGTCCAAAATTTAATGGATATTTAGCTAGACGGGCGGATGCGGGGCGGGTAATGACTCAAACCCATTACCCGCCCACTACCCGCGACGGGTATCACTTTCTAAATCCACACCCGCCCACTACCCGCTAAAATTATACCCATCCCCGCCCCAATTGGAGCGGGTGCGGTACGGAATCCACGAAACTGTACCCGTTTGCCATCCCTACCATCTCTAGGTAGAACCCTTATTTATTACATAAAACATCGTATAACTATATATATTATTTTTAAAAAGTGTATAAATAAAAAGAATATTTAATATTTTTTGTCAAAAAGAAAAGAACAACTCTTTTTCCTGTTTTGGTAGACATAAAAATATAGTAAGTAGCATAATATTTGATGATAATTTAAGTGAAAAATATTTGAGATTTTACGAGTTAGATGTAATTTATTATTAGAATTTATATTTATCTCGTAAGACATTTTGTAATAGCATATAATGCCTTTAAAAAATACATAAATAAAAATAATATTTGATATTTCTTGTTAGAAGAAATGAATAATTTTTTCTATTTTTTTAAACATAAAAAAATCATAAGTAGCATAATATTCTATAATAAATTTAACTTTGAGTAAAGAATAGCATCTACTGTCTTTAAAAAGATGTGAATGTTTTATATTTTTTGTGGGGAGAATCGAATAATACTTTTACCTTTTTTGGTAAACATTATACTCAAGTAAAGAATGTTTGAGATTTCATAAGTTATGTACAGTTCAATATAAGAATATATATTTGATATCTCTTGTCGGAAGAAAGGAATGTCACCTTTCTCGAATAAAAATAAAAGAATTCATATGTAGCATAAGATTCAATGACAACTTCAACTTAAGTAAAGTATATTATCATTACTTTCGAGTTATTTTACTCGTGTTCATTTTATGTTCATTTATGGAGCAAAACGCAGGAGAATTAGTGGTCGCAAATAATAATTTGAAGGTTGAATGATGAGGGGAGAAGAAATAGAAAATGAGTTATAACGGTGTCGATACCGTTTTTCACCCGGATGGGGAAAAACTAGCACACCTTGGGGTTTTTCTTTGAAAAGATTTTGAAATGCGAGGAGTCGCCACCAACTATTTAAGATGCGATTGGGACACCATAAAAATTGGTGATTTTAATAAAACATTTTATTTTTATTAAAATACCGAGTTTTGGGGTCTGTAAAAATCCAGAAATCAGGCTCGGGAGTGGGTTACACGTGGAGAAGGGTTAGCACCCCCATAGCGCCCAGAAATTAGTACCTAGTTGATTACCCTATTTTGAAATTTAAAATTTTTGAGTTCGAACTTTATTTAATCAAAAACTCCTTATGCATGCACAGTTGAAAATGATGTTTGATTATTTAAGCCAATAATATTCGCCTAGCACAAATGCGAGAGATCAATTATTATGCCCAATAATTGAACATTGCCTAGGAATTTTGGAAACATGACAGGTTTTTTGAAAAAGATGTCGACCTACTTCAAGAATCACCAGTAGTCACCCCCTGAGCATACTTGCGGGAGATATACTATTGACTCCCTAATAAGTGAACATTGCCTTGTGTTTGAAAATATATGCAATCAATCGATCGATTATAGTCCTAACTTTACTAGGTTAGTTTGTTAAAGGATTTCTAACCTAGAAGTTGTCAAATTATGTAATTAAAGAATGTGGAGGACTAAACCTAAAAAGTGTAAGCTCTAATATTAATCCTAATCATTTTTGGTAAATTATTGAATTGAACAGCCAAAATGAAATCTCAAGCATAACCGAAGGCCAAATCAAAAATTATCCTAGATTAAAGAACTAAGTTTAAATTAAACCTAAAATGGAGGCTCTAAACATTACCCTATTCGATTTTAATTAATCATGCAATTCGAATAATTAAATTGGAACCTTGAGCAAAAGCGAGGACCAAATTAAGAATTTTTCTAATTTAAGGATTAAATGTGAAATTAGGCCTAAGATGGAGGCTCTAATATTAATCCTAATTAATTTTAGTCAATGGTTGAATAGAATAATTAATTTGGAACCTTGAGCATAAGCGAGGGCCAAATCAAAAATTCTCCTAAATTTAAAATTTAAAGACCAAATTTAATATGCTGAAATAAAGAAAACTAAATTAAATTTAAATTAATCAAGAAAATGTACCTTAAGGGATATACCTAAAAAGAAATGAAAGAAGTAAATTATAATGCTTATTAAATATCTTAATTAAAGAAAATAATTTAAATAAATAAATAAATAAAATATGGAAAATAAAATAAACAAAGTTAGTGAAATAAATGAGAAGAACGATAAAAATAAATAAACGGAATGTCGGAAATTTGATTCGGATAACCTGAAATGAAAATAAAATATTGAAGTTAGTGAAATGATCTAAAATATGGGCTAAATTGAAATAAAATAAATCAATTAAAATTAGGGGCTAAATAGTAATGAATTAAAAACAAATTAAACAAGTGACTAATTTGAAATAAATGCAAAACATAAAATTGCATAATTAAAACAAGGACGAAAATGTAAAAATGTGCATAAACTGCGGGGACCTAAAAGAAAATAAGCCAAAAAGTTAATACTTAGAAATAAAAATAGAAATAGCAAGATACAGTTAAAACTCTATAAATTAATAATGTCAGGACCGGAGAAATTTATTAATTTAGAGAGTTATTAATTTATCGATAAATTAATAATTATTAATTTAAAGAGTTTTTAAGTAACTATACTGTACATACCAAACAAAAAGACAAATTAGTCTATGCCTCTTAGAATTACGTTGCAGCGAACCTTGGGACTCAACGTAAATTAGTAACTACACTGTGTTCATATGCATTGGAAATCAATAATGACTTTTGAAGTACAGTAAATGTAAACAAGAGGAACAAATGTGTTCAATGTATTCTTAAGCAAGTTTGGCATATATAAATTACATGAATGTGTATTCAAACCATATCTCACAAGATGGCTTCTCATCTAAAAGGTGTTGCAAAATCAACTATGTCAGATCAAATACGTAAGGAGTTGTGTGAGTACAAGAAAGATAATCCTGCAAGCACACAAAAAGACTTGCAGAGATGGCTTGAGGGAAAATTTCAGTTGAAAGTTAGTTAAGGAATAATATCAAACACACTTAAGCGGTCAAATGACTATCTCCCTGCTGAAATAGAAAAGGGAAGAGCAGAGATCAAAAGACACAAACCAGTAAAATATCCTGACATGGAGAAGGTTGTTTATGGTGGTTTCTCCAGCATCAAGAACGTGTGAATATCACAGGAGAATTAATTTTGCAGAAGGCAAGAGATACAATGAAACTCGTGTACCCTCATGATGATTCAGATTTTAACTTCTCTATAGGATGGCTTGGGAAATTCAAGCACCGACATGGCATAAAGTCATTTCTTCGTTTTGGCGAGAGTGGGTCTGTTGATGTACAAGACATGGACCAGAAATTGGTATCGATTCGGGAGAAAATTGATCAGTTCCCTATGAAAGATGTTTTCAATATGGATGAAACTGGTTTGTTTTATAGGCTACAAGCTAATCATTCACTGGCAACAAAACAACTTGAAGGAAGAAAACAAAATAAAGAAAGGTTGACGATAGTTATTTGTTACAATGAAGATGACTCTGAAAAATCCCTCTATGGGTTATTGGGAAATATGCAAAGCCTCGTTGCTTCAAGAATGTCAACATGAATAGCTTGGATTGTCAGTATCGAGCTAACAAAAAAGCATGGATGACTAGTGTGCTTTTTGATGAATATGTTCGTTCATTTGACCAAATGATGCATGGTAGAAGAGTTCTACTTGTGGTGGATAATTGTCCAGCACATCCAAAAATTATTGAAGGGCTAAGAAACGTCGAGTTCTTCTTCTTGCCACCCAACATGACATCAAAGATTCAACCTTGCGATGCTGGGATAATAAGAGCTTTCAAGATGCATTATCGTAGAAGGTTTTACCACAAAATATTGGAAGGTTATGAGGTGGGAAAATCTGATCCAGGGAAGGTAAATGTCCTTGATGCTATCAATTTGGCAATCCCAGCTTGGACGATAGATGTTCGAAAAGAAACAATAGCAAATTGCTTCCGACACTGTAAAACTCGTTCAGCTAGTGACGTTGCAAGAAATTTGGATGAATCCACTTTTGATGAAGAAACTCAAGACCTCGAGACTATGATCAATCAATGTGGCTATCGTAATAAGATGGATATCGACAATCTAATGAACTACCCAGGTGAAAATGAAGCATGTTCGGAGGTTCAGAGTTTAGAAGATATTGTGGGTACTATCATTGAGAACAATGCAGAGGATGACGGTGAAGATGATACAATGTCTTTGGAGCCTGTTACGCGAAAGGAAGCACTTATGGCGTCAAACACTCTTCACAACTTTATGATACAATACAAAAATACAACACCTGAGCTATTGGATGCAATAAGAAAAGTTAGATATGAGCTCCAAATAGACTTGAACTTTAAAGGAAAACAGACAACTATTGAATCATATTTCAAAAGAGTAATATATTTTTTCAGTTTCTATGAATTATTAATTTATGATTTTCTTGGGACCTAAAATTATAAAGGGATCTCACGAAAAATTATTATCTTATTATTTTATCGAGTTTTTCAATTTTTTACATTGGCCCAAGTCGGGACCGGACAAATTTATTATTTTAGAGGGTTTATTAATTTACCGAGTATTAATTTAAAGAGTTTCTACTGTAATGACATTAGATTTAAAATAAAAACAAAAAGATCGCATGAAAGTGGCCAAAATGCAATGTAGAGAAACTTGGGAGGACTACATAAGAGATTAGACCCTTCGACGCCGTATGGGGCCAAAACGACGCCGTTTGGATTCGTCTATAAATACTCTTTTTTTTTTCTTCTTCAATCTCTCCCCCCAAATGATCTCCCCTCCCAAATTACACAAGCTTGTTCGCCTCGACACGATGGTTGTAGATCTGGGTGTGGCTTCACGAGACCTCCAACGCCGTGAAACAAGGCCGAGACCCAATTTTTAATTTATGGTTTAAATTTAAATAATAGATATAATTAGATCGTTTGACAAATATAAATTTTAAAGGTTAATATAACTAAATAAAAAAAGTATTGAAAATGTTTTCCATTTAGTGATAAATAGGTCCTTACCTACTTAACATTTTGTACATTTTTCATTAAAATTACAACCGATAATTTTGATTTTAAATTATCAAATATTTTTAAAACATTATCAATAAATTTATTAATTTTCAATAAAATAAATTTTATTAATTTATTATTAAATATGTCTTAAGTAATCGACATTGTTACTAAATCTTTTGCATTAAAAAAAGTACTTAAACAAAAAAGAATATTTCATATTTTTTTTTATAGAAGAAAGGAATGATACTTTTCCCATTTTCCTAAACATAAAAATAATTTATAAGTAATCTAAGATTCAACGGTAACTTTAACTTAAATAAAGAATATCTGAAATTTTAAGAGTTGGATATAATTTACCGATAGAATTAGGGATGTGCATGGGTCGGGTATTGAAAAATAAGACCTTCTAGAATTGGTTGTCACTTTTTTCCCATATGTATGGGGTAAGGGGGAGGTAAGATAGTAGGCTGCCCCCAACACCAAATTGAGAACAGCTTCCGTAGGAGACCTCCGAATTATGAAATGCCCTCCATGGGACTCGATCCCACGACCTCAAGATTAAGAACCTTGTGCTCTACCTACTGAGCTGGATGGTCATTTCAAGACCTTCTAGAATATTCCCCATAATTCGAGAAACTTCATGTAACTCGGGAGCCTCGAGGCTCGGACGAGCAATCATGAGCATAAACCGTTAAACGGGTATGAACCGATGGAACAAAGAAATCTACCATAATCTGTCTCATAGTAAATGAATGGCATTGTTAACTCGCTCAAAACAAACAGAATGTAATGTTCTTGAATATAGTCATGCTCTAATGATCTTTCTTTCCGTTGATGCTCCTCAGTCTTCACTAGAAAACCTATGTTACTCGGACTTATGGGTGAGTTCTGATGAGCTAAAGGTTTCGGTCTCCCTTCGACGAGAACAGCGATAAACGGAAGGCAATTGCTTCCAAAGTTCCGTTAATCCCCCAGTGACACGATCACAACCAAGGGACCACAACAGTGTCCAACACAGATATGTTCAGATTTTACAAGTTTCGTGTATCTTTGGAAATTCATATTCCTATAACCATGTTCAAATATGTGCGAGGAATGTGTATCTTAGGATACTGATCACATGAACAAAGAAGAAGAAAATGACACAAAAATCAAGCTTCATGACTGTAATCATTCCGAAATTCGGCCTATCAATAAATAATCCACAAGACAGGTTGCAAGAAAGTATCTAACCGGAATAACGTCCAAGCAGGGATCGAAGCTCGAAAGGGTCGATTAGTTCTTGATGCCAGAAAATGCATTTAGTTACTCACCGAACTTCGTTCCGGAGGCAACTATATTCAAAACAAATCAGATGTGGCTCCATTAGGAACATTTTCTTTCTTGTGCATCATGATTTCTCCAAGGATTAAGAGCTTCTCTCATTGCCTGAGCTTCAGGGGAATTCTCCCAAGCTCGCTTCTCAGACTCTAGAACAGTCACTTTGTCATCTACAACATAAAAAAGGCAACGGTTCAAGCAAGAGTTACATGCAAAAACGTGGCAACTGACTCGACGAACACACGAAATCGTAAACATAACCATATCATAGCGATACTTGGGCTATTATCTCTCCTCGAAATAGATAGATATCATACCCATCTCCCTTTACATTTACCAAGGATTGCAGATAACAGATCAAACCAAATCTCTTTCAACCCAGCACAAGCATCCATTGAAACTAACTTTCACCAATGCTTGTTGTCGCTAATGACACAGTCATAGACTAATAGCAGTAAGACATTACTTTAAATTATTAAGACCGAAATTAACCTACAATTAACATAAACATAGGAAATTAGCACTTAGAAATAAGAATATCAGATCCACTTTGAAGATCCTGCGGACGCAACCGGCTTTGATATCCATTTTATGTGACCGAGATTTTTAAAACTAACGACAACGAGAAAATGTTGAAAATGAAATCACCCTAGAGCTTAAAAGTTTTACTTGATTAGCAACACTATGACTTGAGTCAATCAAAATAACTGTAAGAAAAACCCATCAATTAACAACAATAATATGGTACTAATATACCACTTTTCTCCATCATCTTTCTTTGAGTACCGTACCCATCTTGGGATGCAAATCTCTAAATATACGGAAAAAATTGAAAAAGAACAACCGAGCATATCCGTGTTGGATAAATGCACGCATCCAGGGGTAGACCGAGAGGAGTCCTGGAGGACAGTCGAACCCCCCAGGAAATTTCAAATTCCATATAGTTTAGTTATTTTGTTTGTGTTTTATATTGATGATCCAATTTCGTACCCCTGAAATTTTATAATTTTGCACCCTTAAATTTCTAAGTTCGTCCCTGCTGGTATCTGTCACACATCTTGTGCGTAAGTCTCAGTAACATAACTAATATCTTATGAAATTTAAAGATATATATCAAGTTAGCAGGCAACCAAAGAAAGGGGAAATCTGTAAAAAAAAAAAAAGGAAATCAAAGACTACATTTTTTAGGTTTTAAAGAATAAACTCATAAAATGCTGATATGAATCAATTTAGGTAAACGAAAGGGAGAGCAAATGGAGAGTTCTCACACAGAAGCCAGTCTTGATCATGAATAACTCCATGGAACCTCCAATTAGAGCCGAACCAACTGCAACCTTTAAGTACCAATCAAGAAACTTTATTGCCATTTTTCTTTTAGCTGCAATTTTTTTTTTTTTTGCTTAGTTAGAACATTAACGACAGAATCAAAAATCTGATCAAGCTAAAACTATGAGCACTGATATTTATTACTTAGCTAAAACTTCAAAAAGAACAAAGAACGATACCTCGAGTGGCTTGAGAAGAGGATGAAACAGAAGTGAGCCCGGAAGCAAGGAATAGCAGAGGTTTCCCTTTAACCGGAATCGTCGTCACACTAGCTGCCGGCGGCGTAGATGAGCCCTTATCGGCGATACAAAATGAATTGATGGATGGCTGGCTGGCTCTTGAATTCGCAGTGTAGAGAACGCAAAGAGAGGAAAAAAAGGTTTTTATTTGGGTAAATTATGAAGTTAGTACCTAAACTGTCAGTTTTGTTTCGTTTTAGTACCTAAACTTTCAAATTTTCAAAACTATACCTAAAGTTTAGTTTATGTTTCATTTTAGTACCCATGTTTAAAATTTAACGTGAAGTTTTGAAAAAAAAATCAAAGTTTAGATACTAAAACGGACAAAAATTGATAGTTTAAGCACCAAAAACATTAAGTTTTTAACAGTAGAGTACTAAAATGAAACAAAAACTAACATTAGGCATGATTTTAAAAAAATTGAAAATTTAAGTATTAAAACGAACCAAAGCAGATACTTTGGGTACTAAATGCGTGATTTACCCTTTCCATTTTCACATATTGAGAAATTAAATGTAGTATTTTTTTATAGAAAAATATGACAGATTTTATCACATGATTAAAAAAACAATATATAAAAATTATGTTTAAAATGTAAAAGAAAAAACTTAATATATTTTTTATTTTAAAAAATAATGGATAATCAACTGTATTAAGTAACTTATACTGAGTTAAATTTATAAAATAGATAAATGCTAATTTGACTGTTTATTTTCAATTTTTAATAGTTAATGATGATGTTGGAGAATTTAAATATTATTTTAACCATTCTACATTGTCAAGATTTAAAATTTAATCTATTTTAATAATCGATAACATTATTAGTAGATTCAAATTGATAATATAATTTCTTACCGTAAAATAATAGTTAATTTATCAGAAATATAGACATGATGTCATATTTACGAACAAAATTACAGGGGGGAAACGAAACAAGCATACATCTTAATCATTTTCCATATACAGCTAACTGATTCCAAGACTGCAGATCAGGATTTAAATTGCGATTATAGTCGCATTTTCGGTTGTATTGCAGGCGCTATTGCAGTCAATATGCGCATCGTGATCTTGTAATAACGGTTTCGGACGGTACCTTTACCGCTATATAATGGCTGCTATTCCGATAGCGAACCACTATCTAAATCCCTACAGCAGATACCCATGTTCGAAATTCTATGCCTACCAAAACTGTGCCGGAGAAAAATTCAGAGGAAGCTGAAAAAGAAGAAAGCAGGAACCTTCATTTACACTTTTGTCACGGGGAGGAACTTATTGTCTTTCTTCAGCCATACGGTTGATCGGGTTCGTCGAACATGATCTTCGAAGAGCCGATGCCTACAAGTATATATATAAGGAAATCAAACTTTTCATCATTTCTTAGCCAATGCAGAAAAATGAACCACCAATCATCTGATAAAATGACCAACACAAGGGTACAAAATTTTGGGTCTGCATAAAGAACTTTTCATCCAATGTGCATGGTTGGCATATGTTGCTCAGAGTAAGATGAGAGTTTCAGACATGGTACACGTATGTTGTTTTTAAAAAAAAAGTTTTTTCGTGTATTTGAAAGGTTTTTTAAGGGTCCAAAACCTCATACCCATGTCTGGATATAGGTTGAACATGAGTACTTTAAGAAGAAAAATTGGAGCAATATAATCGAGTCGTGCTCCGTTGTAACAAAAGCAACTGGGAGAAGGATGTTTTCATGATGATATAGTACGAACCTTTCATAATCCAACCTCTGTGTAACTATTCCGTTTAGTAGCAGCTCTGAACTGTAAATCTCTGCCCCTGAAAGCGTAACGGCTAAACGTTTGAATAAAAGCTGAATTTCGCAGAAAAGCCATAAAGGAGCTAATTTACAAACTCTTATTACCTATTTCGAGGAAACGAACAGACATTTCATAATCTTCTTCGCAAGATAGAACCAACAAATCATCTGGGAATTTGTCATCCTTCATAGCAGAACTGCTAATTTTCTCAACTGCCTGGAATTGTTGACCCATATAACATAAAAAGGAAATGATTTTTCATGATAACACATCCATACATATGTATTTTCGAGATAATTTTGAAGGGAAACCACCATATACCTGACCGTTAACTGAGGTCACCAAACGTGAGATTGTTTCTTTACCAGGCTTCGTATTTGGCGTGATTAAAACTCGTCGACCCTGCATAACTTCCACATTGCGTGAAAATCGAGATGGAAAAAGCAGCCAAAGCAATAGGTAAAACAGAAAATTTCACCTGTAGTAACGGTCTCTTGCGTGCACGTGCTAAAGAAACCGGCATGCAAAAGCCAAGCTCTTTCTCTTTTTTGATATCCCTCAATACATAAGCTTCTTCATCGATGTGAATATTAACTTGTCCGATGCTTTCAAGCCATAAATGTGTGACAACTGGTTTGCCAGAAGCAATTGCTTCCAACATATTCCTGGTGCGCACAAAATTATCAGTTACAAAATGTGTCGCATCCGAAATAGATGATGCCTCGGAGATACTTAGGCGAGCCAAGATCTGGTTAAAAAATCGAGGAATAAGATTTACTTAAACAAGCTTTTATACCTTCAGAGAGCGACTGAAATTACAAAATAACTAATACCTTTTTCTGCTGTTTAAGTATGTCCTCGTCTAGGTGGTTGCTGAACAAGACTCGAACATCAGCTAAATTCCTTCTCTTCCTCGAATCTTTCAAAGGGGAAATAGGTTCAGGCTCGATCGGGTATAAGCTTCTGAGTTCTTTCATAAGTGAAGATTTTAATAGGTTCTTTCGGCATGACTGTTTAAAGTATTCTTCACCCATACAAACAGGCGATGTGGTATCGATTGGTGTAGGACGGTTAGTTGGCGTAGTGCATAGAGAACCAGGTGATCTTAATTTCTCTTTTGATGATTTATCAGAAGAAACATTCACTGCTAAATTTTCAGCATCTGACGAAGATATTGTATCAGGATTTCCACCGGCGTGCTTGATTGGCTTAGCTGCCTCGGACCCAATTTTTCTCTTTGATATCACCCTGCTATTCTTCTTGGTAAGATTACAATTGATATCATCATCACCTGAAACCTGTTTATCTGAACTTTGATGAGATAATTTTCCTTCTGAATTCTGGTTTGCAAAATGCAAAAGCGGACAAGTATTAACAGATGATTGTGTAGTCCTCCTAGTGGATGGTATAATGCATGTGTTTTTATTGCTTCCTCTCGACCTTTTCGGCACAGTAATTGGACACCCATTGTCATCTGACTGAACAGGTTTTCGGGACTGTTCTTCCCTTTTGTCAGACACACCAACATCAACAGGCGTTTTCTGGGAGGATCTTCTTCGTTTGGGATAGCAAGTTACATGATAGCCACTACTTTTCGCAATCAGCTCCAAATGAACATCAATACTTAATTTAACATTTCCATTTCCATGTCCTCCGGATTGATTGGAATGCAATATAGAGAGTCGACCTTTAGCATTTGACACTTCAGATAGCTCAACATCCGTACTCCCAAATCTACTTTCTTGAAGGAAACCAGCTTCTTTAATCCGTTTTCTACCTTTTCTACAATCACTTACTAGAGCCTCAGCCATTTGCACATTTTTGACTGACTGCCCAGTTCTATGAGCAATGGGTGTTCTAGTATGAACCTCTTCAGGATGTTGCTTCCTTATTGATCCACCACCACGAAGTTTAGCTTTCTTCAATTTTGGCAGAAACAACTCCATGTCACAGTCCTTCCCTACACTTTTGGAGTGTTTCTCCACCAAAACTGAAGACTCTTCACATGGCTTAGTTCTCTTGGATCGTCTCGTAAATCGATCTACATCAGAGCAAGAAGCACCCTTTCTTGACGTAGAAGAAATTTTCTTCACAGTTTTTCCCCTATTTGAACCTTTAGAGGATCCCTCGGATATGCTTTGGACACCTTGATTAGCTTTAGGGTCAGTAGCCGCCTCCCCATAGAACAAGGCTTCTATAGCTTCAGCAGCCATCTGAGTGTCAAAACCTACGTCATTTGGATCTTCAGCAGCACCTATCTCTGTGGCAGTGGCTTCCAATTGCCCTCTCGAGGAATCCAAATTAAACTGTTCATCAAACTCATTGGAAAGATTTTTTCTAAAATTCATTTGACCTTGTTCTTTCTTGTCATTATCTTTCGACTTGCACAAAAGTAATTTTGAATCAGAATGAATTGTAATTTTATCAGTGGGCTTCGGTTGGTCTCCATTACAAGATTCATCTAGTTTCCTTCCTTTACGCTTCTGGGGGTGGGTAGAAGATTTCCACGAATGGCTTCTATTACCATAGAATTCTTCCTTCATTCTATGATAAATATCACCCCCTCCATCATCCTCCAGAAAACTATCCCATTCAAAATTCCCAGCATCACCAGCGGTGCTTCTTTCGATAGTTTTCTTGGCCAAGCTTTGTGGCCCTTTTGCACATGAGATAAGTTTCGATTTCCGCCCCGTATTCTTACCCAAATCAACTTCATCATCAAGTTCCATCAAATTATCATTTACAAATCTTTCCACGAAATTAAGTGCATTAGCTTGTGATAACTCCCCAGGTTCTTGAGAGTCAATATAACTTAAACCTGCTGATGGACCATCACAATTGGGAACCTCGAGCAAATCTTCTCTTGCATCTGTGTTTTCATTGTTCCCAGAAATTCCTGGATTTTCAGTAAAACAATCCTTGGCAAAAAGTTTTCTTGCAGTTGCACAACCAACCCTTGAATTGATAGAGTTCTTATCACAATTACCCTGATCTTGTGCCTGACTAATGTTCTCCACGACTTCCGGATTTAAACCATTAGTATCGACTGCGCACTGGTCCGAAAACTGACTATCAGTTGGGATAGAACAAGACTCGCTGTTCATTTGTCGAAATGCCACATTGCGAGCTGCAAGACCAGAGGCCCGCATGGACGCTGCACGGACAGAAGTAAACCTTCGGACAGATCCTAAGAAAACAAGAAACGTTAATAGAGAAATTGAAGGACTGTGTATTTAATAAAATTGGCAAACTGAGAGTTCTCACCATCCTATCTATGATATTTCAATATGAATGATAATGCTTCCAAATGCGAGTTAAGTTAGAAAATAAATTGCTCTAATATTACTCACCATCACATTTGATCTAGATTAAAAGTGGAAGAATGTGCAACCATTGATGAAAAATATAACTTATCAAGTAACTTTCTTAAGGATATTGACTAACGAGGGTAGCTTAATCTTGCAAAAAAGTTTATTGAACTGCTTATCAAAATCAACTGATCCCCTAAGACAATAACCAGTAGTTGATTCAAATAGATCCACAACATATCAAGAAAGTGATTCCCCGGCCATGAACAAGTCATAGAAAAATACCAGGTTCCTGTTCCGACACAGCTTTGACATCCGGTGTTGCTTTAGGAACATGAATTCCTGAAGAAACGTGCAGCACAATATCATAAATTCAGTTGAGACAACAGGATCAACTTCTTGCCATACAAAACATACAGATATACGTAGCCAATACTACAACACTTGCCAAAAAAACTCAGAATAAAACATACCCGAACTCCTCTGTTCGTCAGTAGGTGTATCAAATTTCTCCGAAGATTCCTTCTTCTCCTCCTGACCAAACAATTGAACATGATCGCTAATTACTACCTCATCATCCCAGACCTCATCACCATCATCCAAAACCTCAGTTCCATCTGTTCCTTCACTTTCACTATCAAGAGAACTTCCAACATTGAATTCATCCAACAATTGGGTCTCCATATTCTCACAGCAATCTAAATCATCCAACACTTGTGTTTCATCGCCAATGTTCAACATGTGAGTTTCCTCACCAAGGTTCAGACATTGGGTCTCAAATTCATCCTCAATTGAAACATTGTTATCATCTACAGGAACCGTATCTTGTAGAAGGTTTAATTCAACATCATCCTCATTATCATCTCTATCACCTATATGTATTTTTTTCAAACCCATAATTCATATAAATTTCAAATGATTTAAAAGCATAAATAACCAATACTAAAATATTAAGTGGAAATCAAAGATTGAGATAAACATACCACGAAAAGGAGAATCAGGAAACTGACAATCAAATTCATCTTCAATTGGGACATTGTTATCATCTACAGGAACCGTATCTTGAAGAAAGTTTAATTCATTTTCACACCCGTCACCTATATGTATTTTTTTCAAACTCATAATTCACATAAATTTCAAATAATTGAAAGCATAAATAACTAATAATACTAAAATATTAAGCGAAAGAATAATCAAAGATTGTGATAAACATACCACGATATGGAGAATCGGGTAACTGAGAGTCAAATTCATCTTCAATTGTAGCATTGTTATCATCCACAGGAACCGTATCTTGAAGAAAGTTTAATTCATTATCACAACCGTCACCTATATGTTTTTTTTCCAAACTCGTAATTCACATAAATTTCAAATGATTCAAAGCATAAATAACTAATAATTCTACAATATTAATCCAAAAAAAATCAAAGATTGAGATAAACATACCACGAAAAGGAGAATCGGGAAACTGAGAGTCAAATTCATCTTCAATAGAAACATTGTTGTTGTCTACAGGAATAGTATCTTGTAGAAAGTTCAATTCATTATCACAACCGTCACCTCTATGAATTTTTTTAAAGCTCGTAATTCACATAAATTTCAAATGATTTAAAGCGTAAATAACTAATAATACTAAAATATTAAGGGGAAAAGAATCAAAGATTGAGATAAATATACCAGGAAAAGGAGAATCGGGAAACTGAGAATCAAATTCAAAGGGCTGGGTCTCGGCATGTGCGGAATCGGTGCTTGGGCTCATTTCAGAGGGTTTGGTTTCGCCATCGACGTCTCCGATACTGCCCATTTGTTCACTTCAATTCATCTGCGAATTTGTTTAAAGAAGGCAAAACCGCATCAAATCCCTAAAATGCAGACACCTCTTTACATTAGAAAAAGGAGGGATTCAACACAAGCTTTTTGTGGTTTTGGGTGTTGCAGAGTGAGTGACAGAGTATTATCCTGCTGCTCTCAGGTGGTTTGTAAAAAAGATATAAGAAAAATAGGGCACCGTTATTTAAGAAAATCAATGGAATTTGTTTTAATTTAATAATTACATTTAATTAATAAAATGTAATTAAATATGTATACTTTTATACTATATTACATATATATATTATGTTGATTGTATTTAGGGGTGTAAATAAAACGAGTTTGAACAAATAAGGTTATATTCATGTTCGTTTGTTTATTTTTGAAATTATTCATGTTCGATTTGTGTTCGTTTAAATTTTTAGTATCGTGTTCGTTTATTTATTTTTGAAGGTGTTCGTTTATATTTATATTCTTCACGAATATGTTCGTAAATATGTTCGTTTATATGTTCACAAAAGTGTTCATTTATATGTTTACGAATATGTTCATTTAGTGTTCACAAATATATTCGTTTAGTATTATTTTATTATTTGTTTAGTGTTTATATAATGAACTTTTAGTTTTACTCTTTTCTAAAAAATGGTAAAATTACATCATTAGTGCTTAAACTCTTCAAAATTCATAATTTTAATTTTAATTTTTACATGTATTCAATTTAGTCACTACCATCACCAATATTTAAAATATATAAAAAAAAAAGGAAGATCGAGTAAACGAGCTTGTTCATGAACATAAATAAACAAGTTGATGAACGAGCTCCTAAACAAGCTTATAAATGAGCTTGTTCATAAATATAAACTAACCAAACACACATTTGTTCGTGTTCGTTCGTTTATTAAATGAACATAAAAAAATTTATTCATACTCGTTTATTTAGCTTAACAAACGAACATAAACAAAAATTATACAAAATATTCACGAACAATTCACCGAACACTCTGTTCATTTACACACCTAATTTTGCACTCCTAATTTTATTGTTGTGGAAGTGCGGATGAAATAAATTTATTCAATAGTAAATTTTTATATTGTAAAAGATCATTCTAATAATAAATCTTGATATTGTAAAAAATTATTCTAATAATAAAAATCTTTTTTAATATCCGACAAAATTACTCAACCAATAAATGAAATAAATTTATGCAATTTCAATTATTTCTAGCTCTTTTCATATGGATTAGTAGATCAATAAATACGATAAATTTAATCGATTTCGATCATCTCAATTAATGAATGGATCGATTAGTACAATCCCAACAAAAGTAAAGCCTGAACAAGGATAAACTCATGCTGTAATGACAAAAGTCTTGTATTAAAATGACTACAACAGGATTAACATTAAGTCATCAAAATCATAATGATGTTACAATTGCTTCACATCAGAATATGACTCGAAGATTAAGGACATCCTTTTACACCTACAAAAGTTAAGACATCAGCCACAAGCTGTCATGTTTTTTAAACCACTGACCTGTCGAGCATCATGTAATGTACACATAATGTAGAAAAAAAAAAGGGAATGCATCATTAAACTTGATAATCTTGTTACTGAATCCTATTAGGAATAATAATGTGGTGGCAGTGCTGCAGGATCAAGCTCCCAGCATCCTCTTAGACTGCCGTTTCTCTCAACGGTTAGCTGGAAACACGGAATCTGATGAGAAAATCGAAGCTGATTGACCCACGGGATTTCGAGTGTGACGTTCGTTTTTCCTTTTACTCGGGGCTTGAAAACAGAGTGGAAGCCGTCGACTTTGTCTAAAACACATACCTTGAAGAGAAAATACTTATCCTCTAATACCTGCACTATGTCATATTCCCAGTTCTCCAAGTCGGAACATTTGATGTCGCGAGTCCAGTTGCGATACAAGGCCCAGATTTCCCCTCTTCTAGGTACAATGGTGTATTCGCCCTTCAAACCAGTAGGTTCGGCCTTTAACAAATGGGAAAAGGAATCGGTGGAGGTGTAGGCCTGGGAGCTGTTTCTAATGACAAATTTCCCGCAACAAGTTGGCATGTCCGGATCAGACCACTCGACCATGTCCGACGGGACAGGGAAAAGCCATTTCACATATATTTTGAAAACCGGATGGGAGTCGATTTTCTTGATCTCGCCGTAGTACTTTGGCAAGCCATCCTCATCACCATACAGTGCCCAGATCTGACCATTGCAGAACTTCTCCTTGGTTTTGTCGGCATCAAAACAGTAGAATTCTGATTCTGGAATTTCAAAGGATTTCGAAGTCGAAGCTGAAGGAACAAAATTATTTGATCCTACCATTGGCTTCCCCGTTTCTGAATCGCTGGGACATGAACTACTAGGATCTCTGCCATTACCTTCCTCCTTCAAGTCCTTGGAAACAAAAATTTCTCCAGGTAAAGAAGCAGGATCGAGTTCAAATGAACCTTTCGGCACCCCTTGTCTCTCTTCACCAGTCAGCATAAAAGACGGCACCCTGTGTGAAAACCTGAATCGTTCATTGGGTCGGATAAGAAATGGATCCTTATTCATTGGAGCGAAGACACACACAAACCCTTTGACCTTGGTCAAGTAAGAAACCATTATTCCTACACCTTCAGCGTTCTCTGATAAGATCTCAACATATTCATATTCATATTTCTGGGCACCAAGCTTCCATTTGATGTTCCAGTTCCTAAAAAGGGCCCAAGTTTCTCCTTTTCTTGGAAACATCTTATAGGTATCTCTATATGTCCCTTTTTCCCAATATATCAAATGGGAAAACATACTACGCTCTTCAGTGTTTTCAGACTCCCCGTGTTTGAAGTTACCACAAGAAGCGGGCAAACCTTCACTGACCCATTGTATTTCATTCTCATCATCTGGATCTGGTTCCAGCCAAGTTATCCTCAGTTTGAACCCAGACGAGAAAACTTTTCTGATCCGAGCATAGAATCTAGGCATGGCATCTAACGTATCGTACAAAGCCCAAATCTGCCCTACCGAAAAACACTCTTCTTTCTTCTCTTTGTCAAAGTCATTAAACTCAGGGTCAGGGAAATCAAAATGATCGGGCTCTTTTGTTTCTTTCAAACTTGAATTTGACACAGAATCATCAACATCGGGTTTTGAATTTCCCTTGATACCATCAGCAGAAGCTTCCCAAGTATTCTTTCCATTGGGTAAGCCCGCCTCAAACCTTTTACCCGCTCTGAGGTCCGTTGCTTTCTTCTCTTCTTTCGCTTGATTTTTGTGTACAGGCTTGTCTTCATCAGCCATTTCTTCAGTGGCAAAGTGTGATCCACTTCCCTTGGCCTTTTTTGCGGGATTAATTGTATCCTCCTCGTCACTTAAATTTTCCTTATAAGAGACATGTTGCTTATGCCTCCCAGATCTCCGCACATTCTGAGGTACTTGAGAATCAACCTTCTTTCCAGACAAAACTTCATCATCGACATCAATCACCACATCCTCCTCTGACTCAATGCTACTTTCACTGTCACAGCTTTCACTGGATTCAACAGTTTGTTTCCCACTGTCACAGCTTTCACTGGATTCAACAGTTTGTTTCCTTCCTCTTTTACCATTCGTTTGGGCATCTGAAGTGCTAGCCGCCTTTGGAGTAAAAGCTGTAAAAACATTCTCAGTGGTGAACTTCCTTTGAGATCCTTGATCAACTCCGCGAGTACTCTGATTCTGGACAACTCCTTGTCGAGTAAAATTCGAATGATTCATAGTAGTTGCCTGTGGACCTGCACCTGAGTCATAGGCAACAAAGTACTTGCTGCAATTTTGACAACTAAGAGATCTATTAAGTACGTCTGTATAATATTGGAACCTAAGTGCACAGTACGGACACTTGGTCCAAAAAGTGTGCTGGCCATTGGAGAACCCTGCTTGAGTTGGTGGTTGTCGCTGTTGTTGAGAATTCAAACCAGAAAAGTTGGGGATATTATTCTGGGCAGCTGTGTACGGGTGCCAACTTGGATTCTGCGGAGGGCGAAATGCTGCTGCCGGAGCCGGTCTATTAACAGTCACTTTGCGCCTCATGTCATGTGCAGATCTTTTGCCCTGATCCAAAAGAGTCCGCTGAGCATCCCCAATCAACATAAAAGCAGCTTCTGCTCCCGGAAACTTATTCTTATCTGGGTGAAGTTGGAGGGCGAATTTTCTATACTGCTTCTTTATAGTACCTTCATCAGCTGTCTGCGCCACCTTAAGTATGGCATACCAATCCTTCTCATTACCAAACAAAGGCTTCTCAGCAGCACAATGCACGTCACACACCATTATCATCTGAGAAATATTCTCCAGATCCCGGAAAAGTTGTTGGGCCTTGTTTGCAATTTTAAGAGCCCCAGAAAAATCCCGATTCTGCATCTTCTTCTCCGCAATGTTTTTGGCTCTGATGGCTTCTTCCCTGTTGCAATCCATTGCCAAAAAAGTCCAAACAGGAGCTGGTTGAATGTGTTTCAGACACACAAAAAAGCTAATGATTACTCTAGTAAACTAATTGAATTAAATTGTAACAGAATCCAGTACTCTTCCTCCAAGACCTGTCAAAGATCAGACAAGAAACTCATCTATCGCCTCCTCATGGGTCCTGCAGTAGTTTTATCACCATTAGAACAAGGTTAAAATACACCATTCCCCACTGAACTTTACTCTCTCTCCTATTTTACTAATTTACTCACTGAACTTTCGAATTGCTCCTGTTTTGATCACTCTGAATTATTTTTTTTTGTATGACTGATATTTTTATTATTATCTAATATAAAAATAATTTAAATTTTAAAACAAAAATAAAAGGTGGTCGGACGCCACCGTCGGCCACTGTCAACCGCCATAGATGGTGGCCGCTCGGTCCCATATATGACAGCCAGGAATCCGAAGATTTCAAAATCTTATCTATCATAATCAATATCACATTTAACATTATAAGTTGATTTGCGTGCATGAATACAGCGATGTAAAAGCTCTACAAAAAGGGTGAAAAAAATGTATTTGCAGCATTCTTTGAAATCCATTGAAAAGATAACCAGCGGAACATACAATTGAGGGATCAAATTTTTTGATTAGAAGCTTAGGGAAAATAAGAAATGATAGAAGATATTGAAGTCTTCATAATTCTGCATTGAACAAACCATCCAGCAAAATTTCCTACTGGAAACTATAACTAAATGTTTCGAAAATACCTTCGCAAAAAAAGCCAAAATGATACCATGGACACACGCGTGAGAATAAGAACAATTCAGTGAAAAAATACAAAACCATGCAATGTCAACACGAGTTATAACGTATGCTTTTCCACTAACATTGTTTCCATAATGAGAGAAACCGAATAAATTCCCTCTTTCGTTCTAGCATTGAGACTAAAACCCTAGTTTGTAACAATTTCAACCCGGTAAAAACAATTAAACGTAAATAGAAACCTAAAACCCAAATTCAACCCACAGAAATGAACTAACGTTTATGAAAACAAAAATAAACCAAATCCATACGAGCCATGAACAAACATGAACGGCGAAGAAAACACATGCATTCCGGTGACACAAAACCCATAATAACGCAAGCAATCAAAAAATCAACAAAAAACCCTAAAATTTGAAAGAGCAATAAATTGAAGAAACAGAGAAATACAACTTGCCTGTTTCTGAAATTGCAGAAGAGAAGAGTGAAGAATTCTCAACAACGTCCAAAGAAAAGGTTTTAGGGATTTGAGGGACAGAAATCAGGGGAAGGAGTACGAAATTGGGGGAAACACAAAGTATGCGGGGTACGACTTAATTTCTCAATCGGCACTGTTTTTGTAATTCAATTCTGGACATGATTGTGATTTTGGTCAACTTTAGGGGCTTCTCTGGGAATTAAATTACATATATGCCCCTAAAATTTCATGAATTTATATCCTAGAACAAGGATAAGTATGATCGAGTTGAGTCGAATTGAGCTGAAAATTTTGTGTGAGTTGAGTTTACGGGTTCTATCTTATAACTAAAATTTTGTTTTAATTTTTTTCTAGTCGACCCTAGTTTATAAAATTCTAGTTAATTCAAGTTGTTCGAGTTTATATTTAAATTTAGGGTAAATTATACAAATGATTCTCTAACTATAAGATATTATTTTATTGAATCTCTTGATAATTAAAAGTTACAAAACAAAATAGTATAACTATAAAAATATTACTTTGTTGAATCTTTCGACTATTAAAAGTTCATGCATAAATGGGGTAATTTAGAAAATAAAAGCAAATGCAGTGGTCATTTAGAATAATGGACGCAAATGAAAGGAAACGAAGGAGGGTAGTTTCAGTAATATGCTAATTAATTGAGGGCAGTTGTGACAAAAGCTTATCTGTTTAAGGGTAATTGTGGCAAATAAAATCAATGAAGGACAATTGTGGCAAATTACTAAAACATCCTTTTAAATCAAATTTATATTATCATAGGGATATTCTGATTTTCTACATAATGTTTATTTGAATAAAAGGGTAAATTACATCATTCACTGAACTTTACTCTCCCTTATTTTACTCATTGTACTTTCAATTTTCGCAATTAACTCACTCAACTTTGAACATTGAATTTTTGGGTCACTCGACCATTTTCTTATTAACAAAGTTATCATATGACTTATTTTAATAATAAAATTTGCCACAAGGGATTTACAATTTAAAAAAAAATCTTAAATTCTAGTCTCAAACTCTAATTATATACCTTAAAACCCTAATTTTAAGCTCCAAACCATAAATCATCATTGTTCCTCCCCTCTTTCAGATACCCAAAATTCTAATGTACAACGACAGTATGTATGGTGGTCGGAATATGAATTTCTTCAAGTTGAGGAGAGAATACAGAGAGAATAGGAAGATGAAGAAGAAAGAATGAAAGTGGGGAAAATTTTAATAATTTTCATCTTTTTTTAATGATTAAAAATATTTATTTAATCCATGTCATAACGTCGTTACAAAGTTAGCGGTGGAGTGGCAAAAAAGATTCACTGTACAAAGTAGAGTGAGTTAATTGATAAAATTAAAAGTAGGTGAATGAAATAGGAGAAAAATTAAAGTTCAGTGAGGAATAATGTAATTTATCCTTGATAAAAAGAGCGTTGAAATTGTTTCTATCATTTGTTTTAGACATTTAAAGTTTTTTCTCCCAAGTAAATGCTTAACAATTTCAAAATTATCTTCTAAGGTGCTTGAAGTTTCATAATTATTTTGAAGTCATTTCGCTAATAACTTTTTAAAAAATCTATTAATCAATAATTATTTGACATATGTCATTAGTTTTTTATTAAAACATTTTTTTAAAAATATTAAGTCTTAAAATTTCTAAAATTCTCTAAATTCATATTTTCTCAAACCCCAAAATCTCTCAATTTTGGTTTGACCCACATACATCAAGTTGGAGATTTAAGTGGCTCAATTTTGGTTTGGTCGACGGTGAATCTTCATCGATAATAATAAACTTACAACAACAATAAAACCCTATTCCCATATGTAATGGGGTAAGGGGAAGTAGGGTAGTAGACTTCCCCCAACGCCAGTTTGAGAGCAGCTTCCGTGGAAGACCTCCGACAATACGATAATAATAAACTTACGATGGATCAATAAAGATTGATTTTATACAATAAGGTTTATGGACGATGACATGTAACTACAAGGATGTGATTGACTAATAAAAGTCCAATAACAAAATAAAGTGGCTAATTTAACGACGTATGAGGTTTAAAGATTTGGGTTAAGAACATAAGAGATTTAAGAATTTGGAGATATTTTTAAAGAAAATTAATTATTTTAGAATTTTTAAAGAAAACAAATAAAATAAACACAAAAATATTCTATATGTCAAGCATTACATCGAAATTATCTTTAATCTTAGATTGAATCTCAACTTTCCCAAAAAAAAATTACTTTTAAATCACCACTGACTTTTTAGGTTAGATAGTATCGTATACTTAAAAGTAATCTTTATAATATTATAGAACAATTTTTAAAAAGAAAAATGATATGTCTTACGAGATTTACAAGGCGTGAGCATAGACACTTATCGACCCTAAAATCTAAATTTTCTTCAAATAATTACTTATTTATTAACCGTACATATCATGGAATAGGCTTAGGGATGGCACGAGGGCGGGTCGGGTTTTTGGTCGCCTGACTCCGACCTAAAACATAATACTAAAATCCGATCCCGTCCTACTAAGAAAAATTTTAGGTTTTTTCTCGCCCTAGACCAGCTCGAATTTAGATTAAACCCTAACTTCGACCTGAATATAAATTTTTTAAATAATTAATAAATATTAATTATTTTAATATAATATATTATATATATTATATTATATATATTAAGTACAAGACAGTATATGTCTAAGATAATTCTCAACCTCTTAACATTAAACGTTTATACCCCTAACGTTCGCGATGCTCGAACCCAGGTCTCAAGGAACTATAAATGTTCCTTTACCACGAAGACCACTCGGTTCATGCTTAAATAATATATGGTTCATGCTTAAATAATATATTTGAATAACATAAAAATAAAATTCTTAAAATATTAAATGTAATATATATATATATATATATTTAAGTATAAATTAATTGGTCTGGTCAGGTCGGGTCGGCGATTTTTCACCTAAAATCCGGCCTCGACCCGCCCCAAAATTTCACACCTTATAATTTGTTCCGCCCCACCCCTAGCCTCGATTTTTTTTTTAAAAAACACCCTTATAGGGTCTGTTCAAGTCGGGACCCATCGGGTTTGAGTTTTTTTAGCATCCCAAACTCACATTTGACACTCTTGTTGCTTAAATCCAAAACCTCAAGGAATAACGAAAATTCTTTTACTATCGATGTCACTAAATACATGGATCTAAAATAATATTAAATCAATTATGAATTATCTCAATATTAAGATTTTATAAGGTTGAACATTTCAAGTGTGTTTCGAATATACATCTACATTCTGACCCGTATTAGTCGACATAAGATCTATTTAAACTAATTTACTTAATTATTTTTTATAGTGTATAATTATATTAAAATTACATTTTATATTTTATATCTTACTATTTATGTGCATATAATCATGATAGATTTACATTATAATATATATATATATATATATTATTTAAAAAATAACGATAAATAAACCAAGCATTAAGTCAAAAATACAATCTCACTATTGACAGTTTAACACAACAAATACAGGAATACAACCAAAAATTAAACAGCTAACACTGGACAAAGCTGCTGTTATAATCAATTTGCAGAACTCTTAATCTATATCAACACAAACTTCACACTGAAGTCCGGCTTTTGAGCTGTTTTCACTATGAATTTATGAAACTAGTAGTGTTTTAGTATCCTGTTAAATATCGGCTTCGAGTTCCTTTTTTTCATTGCCATTGATGACCGTTTTGTTCGGTGGGTGATCCGGGAACGAAGGGAGCGAAACCCCTTCCGCCGAATACAGGTCGCATGAAGGAGTCATCGAATTTTCTCCAGTAATAGTGCACGGTGTGGGAAGGAGTGGTCAGGAGCATTCTTAAGCTACTAGGTCGGACTACGCTTCGGTTTCCTTGGTCGGCCTCGGATTCTT